CAGTGCGTGAGAGAGACAGTGCGTGAGAGAGACAGTGCGTGAGAGAGACAGTGCGTGAGAGAGACAGTGCGTGAGAGAGACAGTGCGTGAGAGAGACAGTGCGTGAGAGAGACAGTGCGTGAGAGAGACAGAGCGTGAGAGAGACAGAGCGTGAGAGAGACAGAGCGTGAGAGAGACAGTGCGTGAGAGAGACAGAGAAAGAAACAGAACATAGCACTACTTTTTAAAATCTCTGCATTGAAGTAACCAATATCTAAAAGATAGCTAATGTTCGCTACCAGATGCCACCTTTGCCAAGTAAATGAAAGGCAGACCAGGAAAATTTACTGAATGTCTTATCTACCCTGAGAATCAAAATTAGCTGACAATTTTCAGGATGGTCATGAATGTAAATCAGTAAATGCTCTAATGCATTAAAAAAATCAGTTCTGTTCACAAATGGATATGATCCAACAATAAAAACGGAAAGAACTGTGGATGCTGTAAATCAAACAAAAACAGAAATTGCTGGAAAAGCTCAGCAGGTCTGGCAGCATCTTTGGAGAGAAATTAGAGTTAATGTTTCGGGTTCTGAGGAGGGGTCACTGGACCCAAAACATTAACTCTAATTTCTCTCCACAGATGCTGCCAGACCTGCTGAGCTGATCCAACAATATTGGTGTTCTAATAAGCAGCATTCTTGACAGAATTTCACTATTATTTAATGGTGCAGCACCCACACAGTGACTTTGCACACAGTAATAAAGGAAGTAAATAAATTCTCCTTATTTTAATGTAACCAGAGTCAGTAATCACAACAGTAATTCAAAATAATTTATTCACAGTTTGGAACTTCAACATGAGGATACAGTAACCCAGCAGGAAACAAGATGACCATGAGAACAAAACTCCCAATGTAGATGGCAAGCTAAAATATAATAACAAAGTGCTGGAGTCTAACATTTTCCATTCTATTTGCAGTAACACTTTTTGCTCATCTTTCTGTTCAATTCTTCCAAGCATAAAAATTCTCATTGTTAAAGTGTGCAAAGGAGCAGACACAATGCAGTAACACTCCGTCTCTTACTAATCTCTGAAGCCCACAAAGATAGTTTATTGCAACTTTCCTCCACTATCCCACAATTAAAGGATCTGTTAAACATTACTTCCAGAAATAACAGAGCTGAGGTTTTCTGACCCACACGTGATGCATTAGAAATCACTGCTCTCAAATCATCTTCACAACACTGCCCACGTTTTCCTAATTGGTTGATCAATTTCTGAAAAAGTTGTTTCTTGCTAAAAAGTCAAATCCTGAGTTCATATGGCTAGTCTGCCTTCACAAATAGAAAACCAAGTTCAGCAATGGCTAGAAATATTCCTGCCACTCCTTCTCCAAAACAGACTCTGGTTTACACCTTCTGTCAACTCCAAGAAATGACACAGCAGAATCGTCCTTCAATGATCCAAGATTCGAATATCAACTTGCAGTATGCACCTTCCTTAATTTTAAGAAAGATTTTAAGATCGAAGAGGAATGTGCACAAGAAAGCCAGGTATTTAGGAACTGCAAGTTTATTTAAACAGCAATTCCTGACCATACACTTTCCACAGTCATACAATCTGTTTGGCACATGTAACCTGTTGTCCCATATCTGTACAATTCAACTTCATGAAGGCTGTTGAGTTAAGCAACATTTTAGCTAAATGACATACTAATAATTTCATCAGGTTAAAGAAAAATGTACTGAATACTAACAGATCAAGCAACATTATCTATACACCAAGCAAATTACATGAAGTCTACTTTGCTTTTCTAATTTGTGGTTGCAAATTTGTTATCTTGACCAGAGTCATTAGTTAAACTTGTATCTTTATGGTTTAAATTGGTGGAATATATCTCGCAAAAGTAAACTCACAAAATGCAATAATCATCTCCAAATGTTGGCATGCTCTTCTTCAAATCTCACTTTTCACTGTTAAATCACGTTCTTAATCAAAGTGATGCTAGCCAGAGTAGCATTTCTTCAAAGTCTTTCAATTGAAATAAACAAGCAATTTAGTCCTGAGATAGTGGTACATAAACATCACATTGAAAGGTAGAATCTCTTGTCAATGCAATTTTCTTTGAATTTTATTTTTACAAATGAAAACACCATATGTATATTCTAGCATTTTCCAACAAATTTATGAAAATTGTGAACTTGAGATCTTAATCTTGGCTGATGAATTGATTGCATTTTCTAGGTTTTCCTCAGGAGGTGAATTTACTTAAACATTGTGATTCAATGTAACAACTTTCCCTGGTAAATAAAGATCTTTACTATACAATGATATCGTCACAATCTCGCTAAGTCTTAAAATTTCAGGTTGAACCACAGGCTCACAAATCTAATGTACAATTTACATTCTAATTAGACACCAAAAGAAAACCATAGTGAAGGGTTTGCTAGCATTAAGTTTAAAGTATTTAAGCTCTGCTGTCTTGCTTTCACTAGCACATCTAGTAATAACACCTTTACAAGGAACACAGTACAGTAGTTATTCAGATTCAGAACCTCATTACTACACTAACCTCACCTCTGTATATTGTACGCGAGGGAGCAAAACAATGTGAAAATTAGACCAGTGAATGTGAATGGTCTCTTAGTTTTGGAATCCTTGATACAACCGTGACCGATTCATATTTCCATTGATTTTTATTTTCCTGGAATATTTAAACATAAACACATTAGAATGTCTGGGTGAGAAGATTAATTGTTCACAAATCAAAACAAGCATTAATTCCAATTATTTTCTATGAAACTTGAAATTTATCTTCATTACTGTTTTACTTTGCTGTGTCACTTTGATATAGTGAATCGAATCAAATCACCTAATTGTGGTTCCAGGCTATTAACCGTCTATTTATAAACGGTGAGTTAAACATTGAGCTTTGTGCTGTAAGTGCAAATGTTTGATTAATCAGTTTAATATTCTAGCTGTTACCTTTGTTGTTCAACCATCTGCCATTTTACCACATATCCAGGACTACAACATTCAATATAATATTTTAGCTGTCCAATCAAGCTACAATTGCAGAAACAAAAGTGATAAGAAGGTATGTTTTAAATGAAGCTTTCAAAAATTAATGATTTTATTATTTGAAATAATTTGTTCTCTGATACTGAAGCTGCTGTTTTGTTGCTAGATAGAGATGCAGATGTAAAAAGCTAGCATTGGTTGATTGGTATCATATGTGAAGATTGTTGAAGTGTCATTTTATATTCCTGGAACGTTTAAATATATACAACTTACCATAAGCCACAGTTGTCAGATTATGGATTATATTACACGGTAGTTTTTATATAAATACATACACAGTAAGGTTAGTTTTACTGCAGCTTTGTGCATTGCTCAAGCAGTTGCAACTATTAACAGGGCTGACATTCAATGGCCAATAAACTCGCTTCATGTTGTTATGTACAACTTTGCTGTTTTGTTGTTAACATATCAGCCACTGAATCTGCACAGTGGGCATGTGAGTTATCAAAAATGCAGTTCTAGTCACTTGCTGGATAACAGCACGTACAGACCTCAATCACATGGATTCTGATTGCACTGATGCCAAAGTGCCAAGGACTAAATCTGAAGATGATTACAAACACAAACACAACGTACCACAGAAAAGGTACAGTACTTAGAATGTTCCGAAAGAACATTGTTATAGAAAAGAAGGCTTGCCATGCATCAAACAAAAATCTGTATGCGTTCTCGAATGTTCTGACGACAAATAGGGCACGCTTTCAGGGCAACACTGCACTCCAGACAGGAACCATGGCCACACTGGAACACCAGTTTAATCTGGTTGTCAATGCATATAGGACACGTTATCCTTTCTTCCATCTGTCTGTATCGAGACTGGAGCTGTTCCAGCAGTTTTCTCTGGTCTGGAGGTTCAGCATTGGAGCTGCTTTCAACTTCTGTGTTATCTGCCATATGAAAACATTCTGTCAGTCTGTTATTAACATGTATACCAACAGCCCTAGCGTGACAACAATGAGATTTGTGCAAATGAAATTGAATATGGTGGATTTTAAAAATGACTTGACAGAACCAGTAATTTAGACTTTAATACAGACAAAAGTACAAGTTACATGTTCCTCCAGCTCTGTTATGTAGGGCCACCTGCATGAGTATCTGCCATCTCTCAGTATTAATGGCCAGATTGAATAATTGGCTGGTATCAGAAACTACTACTTAAATCTGGACACATTTGATTAATTTCTTATGAATAAAACGGCATATTCTTTAAATAGCTTCTAAATATAATCAAAATCCAAATAATAAGTCTATTGAATCAGAAAGATGCTGTAATGTCAAATGCTACTTTAATACTTTTAAACGTTTCTATAAATGAGTATAGGGCAAAGGTTCACCTTACTATGGAACATCAGTATCACAAACCTCTTACTGTAATTATTTGCTCCGTGTTTAACAATAGATTCTGTCTTCCTGATCCTCTCTATAACAAGACCAGATCTAAAAGGTGTAGCTTGGCACAGCTGAACGATTCTGATTGCTTCTGAATCAGAAAGTTGTAGGTTCAAGTCCCACTTCTCACTTTAAGCATGGGAAATCAAACCAAACTTATAGCGCCAAACTGCTCTGTGGCCAGCCCTTTCTGCAATACACAGGGTGTACTAAAGGCACCTTAGGATGAATTTTCCTGTTGGAGGCAGGAATCAAGAAGTGGATTCAAATCTGGCTTGTGAACCTGCCCTGGATACAAAACAGGAAGCAGCTGCTATTCTGACTGAATTGGGGAGTTAATTGCCTAAGGGACAGGTCTGTCATCTGATGAGCCAGCAAAGACACTGGAACAGAGGCAAGTCAGTCAAAAAGCAAATTTTGCTTTCACCTGCACAGGCGGCTGTATAAGGAGAAAAGTTGGCAAAGTTGAAATTTCCACATTTCAGAGTAGACTGGGAGCCTAGAAAGCAGGGAAGGGAAGTCTGGTGATTTGCTATTTAAAAGCTTCACATTTTTGCATTGTGGTGCAGGATCGCTCTATCATGTTCAGCCTTTTCAGCGCCATTTCAAACTGCAGCTTTTCACACAAATTTATAGCTGACCCTGCACCCACCTTCACTCAGTTGGATTGGTGCCAGACAGGTGCTGGAGTCCTGTTAAAATCTTTGTAAAAGATTTAAAAAAAAACTTACAGGGCTGGTTTCTTCATAAGCCCAAAATGGCATTATTTACCTAATTAGGAGTTTTATTTATTATTCATGCGAGAACTGTGGGCATCATTGGCCAAGGCAGCATTTATTGCCCGTCCCTAATTGCCCAGAGGCAGCAAAGAGTCAACCACATTGCTGTGGGTTTGGAGGCGAGACACGTAGGGCAGACCAGATGACGATGGAGGATTTCCTTCTCCTTCTCTCACTTTCTGTACATGATTTTACATTGAATAAACTATTCTTACTTTTATTTATTGGTTTAGACTCCACATGGCTCAATTAGGAGTCTTCAATATGATTGGGTGAAGAAACAGGTTGTTGCACGTCCCAGATCCTCTATTGATTTCTCCAAAACAGATCGGACTTCCGATCACTCCAGATTGCTCTCGATCACTCCAGTGTTCTACAATGGGGCCTGGGGAACAGTGTGCTCAGATAGCCTGGATTCACATGATGTGAAAATAGTTTGTAAGCAGTTGGATTGTGGTGCCCTCCTTGATATTGATCACATGCCTGTGGGCAGCGATAAATGATAAAGAATGGATAGTGCTGTTTGCCATTATGAGACAGCATTTGATACAGTCCTAGGCCTTCCCTCAGGAAGGTCAGGCTGTTTCCGTCTTTGGATATGAAACTTTAAAACTGTCTCTTTCTCCTCTTTAATCTTAGTCTTTTAATTATTCTCATGGGAACATTCTGGTTACCCCTTCCTACTTATCCTACAAGTTCTACAATTACCTTGTGTTCTCCTCTACACTTTTCACATAGGTGATATTGTGAACTACTGACCTCATCCTTTCATCTAGGCTGCCACTTTAAAAAAATGTTTTGGCTGGAAGCTCCACAAAAAAAGTTGCATTAACATCCAATTAGGAAAACAATACCATAATGACAAGTAAGTGTTATCATTTTGATCTAATGCAGCCCCTAAAACAAACATTATCTTCAAGCCAATAAGAAAGATAAAGGATCCAATCCCCTCTTTACCATAAATAAGGAAGGAATGTTCAATTCACGTGACATTGTAATTTTTCTTACAAACAGTAGTGGCATTCTCATTCATCGATTAGGAATATCACCTACTCTTATAATAACTATATTATTCTCACTTGTTAGAATTTCTAGATCAAACTTGTTATGATCTTGGTACAGACCTTTTTTTAAAGATTCCAAAAACACAGATATTTACTGAAATAAATGAAGGCACAAGCTTCACTGTTTAGATCAAAATAATTTTTCTATTCCAAAATCAAAGAGCATGGAACCTTAATAACTGCTGTATCTTAATAGTTAAAGACATTAGAAGTACAATAAACTCAGTCATGTAATCTCAATCAAATTCCTTAAATTCACCTTCCCTCTTCCGCCATTAGACTTGTGGCCCAACACTTGAGTCAAATATTTATCAAAAATTGAAAGATTAACTATTTGGTCTGAATACCGAATTGAAGATTCCTAGAAGAATTGAGATTGCAAGGGCCTTCTGATTATTTCTAACACATTTTCCCAACAATCCCATGGTTTAAAACTCCCCACTCAACATAAATTTCACTAGCACCTTAAGTGTTGCTGCCTCTGTCAGAACTTTTCTGGTTCTAATATGTTTTAATTTGGAGTTTTGCATCTAAAACTTGCCCTTTACAGTATTATACCAGAAATTGTTGGCAGAATCTTTTGGTTAACAAATTATAACTTTTTTAGCCAACATCCAAGATTCCAACTAAATTCCTTTGAAAGAGGAGTTTCCTTCATTCCAGCCCAGGCTAAATTAAAACTGAATTGCTTGAATACATAATAAGTAGGAACTTATTTACCCTAAAATTAACTGGTTAACCCTTTTCTTCTTTTGTTTAATTTTGTGGCAACTTGGTCACGTGACAATTTACCAAGTACCGGGTGATTTACCAAAAAATCCTCTTCATGGAAACTTCAATATTAAAGGGACCATCAGCTCAATATAGAGTCAATTATTTCCTCCAAAACAACACAAGCCTTCAAACTTACCCAAAGGCTTTGTTGTCACTTCTGAAGAAAAACGGGTTGTATTTATTAAGCATCTTTAATATAATAAAACATTCCATGGATTTTCACTGGAGTATTATGAAACAAAATTTGTCATAATCACATGAAGATATTGGAGGCTGAAGACCCTCTCAATGAGATAGATATTAAAGAGCAACTAAAGAGACAGAAGGTTAGAGAGGTACAGGAGAGTACTGTGGAGTTTTGACCCTTGGTTATAGAAGGCGCAGACACCACCGATGGAATTATTAAAACTGGAATACTCAAAATGGACCATCGTGGGGGTGGGGGGACTGATTTATATTATAGCAATAGTAGGGGCAAGACTATGAGGATGAGAACAAGAACGAGAATTCTAAAAATCAAGATGCTGCCCAACTGGAGACAACATAGATCAGCAAGCACAGGGATAACTAGTGAACACAAGTTGGAATAAGAATGCGGGTAGCAGAGTTTTGGATGATTTCATGTCTATGGAAGGAAGAATGTCAGAGGCCAGCAGGTTGTGCAGGCTATTTTGAATAATTAAATCTGGACGTAACAGAGGCACAGATGAGAGTTTTAGCAGTACATGAGCCGAGGCGTGGAGGAGTTGGTGATGTGGTCTTCATGATGATACATGTTAGGCTGAAAGTATATCTTCAAGCTTAATGGTTTTTTATTGGTTCATTCATAGGATGTGGGCACTAGCTAAGCCACCGTTTATTACTCATCCCTAATTGCCCAGAGGTCAGTTTATGAGTCAACCACTTTGCTATGAATCTGGAGTCACATGTAGGCCAGACCAAGGACAGTATTTTCCTTCCCTAAATTACTGAACCAAGTGTGACACAAAGGTTACAAACAATCTTGTTCAAAGTTTGAGAAGATTTGTAGCCTGGGTTATGGATGAGGTTGTAGATATGCCTGCCGAGTCAATGGATTTGGTTGCAAATGTTTCGTCACCCTTCTAGATGACATCGACAGTGTACCTCCGGTGAAGCGTCGGTGTTCTGTCCCGCTTGTTATTTATATGCCTCGGTTTGCTGGGGGAGCTGGTATCACTTCTGGTTCTGTTTCTCAGTGGTTTGTACACAGGGTCTAATTCAATGTGTTTGTTGATGGAGTTCCGGTTGGAATATCAGGCCTCCAGAAATTCTCTGGTGTGTCTTTGTTTGGCTTGTGTGATTATGGATGTATTGCCCCAGCTGAATTTGTGTCCCTCTTTGTCCGTGTGTAGTGAGACAAGTGAGAATTGGTCGCGTCTCTTGGTGGCTAGTTGGTGTTCGTATATCCATATCGTCAATTTTCTTCCAGTATGGCCTATGTAGTGTTTCTCACAGTCCTTGCATGGTATTTTGTATATTACTCCAGTTTTGCTGGTTTTGGATATGGGATCTTTTACGTTCATTAGTAGCTGTCGTAGGGTGGTTGTTGGTTTGTGGGCTACTCTGAAGCGTCAGGATCTGAGTAGTCTTGTGGTCATCTCTGAAATGTCCTTGATGTACAGTAGGGTGATCAGTGAGTCTGGTCATGTTGCGTCTTCCTGTTGTGGTCTATCTTGGAGGTAACGGCAAATTGTGCTTTTTGGGTATCCATTCCTTTTGAAGACTCTGTATAGGTGCTCCTGTTCTGCTTTGTGTAGTTCCTGGTTGCTGCAATGCGTTGTGGCTTGTTTAAATAGTGTCCTTATGCAGCACTGTTTGTGGGCATTGGGGTGGTTGCTAGTGTGAGTGAGCATCTGGTCCGTATGTGTGGTCTTTGTGTGTACACTAGTCTGGAGTTTCCGGTTGTTTTTGCGTTCTACCATCATGTGCAGAGACATGCCAAGGAGTTCCTGAAGACCTGGTATTCAAACTGGAACTCCATCAACAAACACATTGAATTAGACCCTGTGTATAAACCACTGAGAAACAGAACCAGAAGTGGTACCAAACACCCCAACAAACTGAGGAATATAAATAACAAGTGGGACAGAACACCAACGCTTCACCGGAGGTGCACTGATAATGTTACCTAGCAGGGTGACCAAACGTTGGCACCAAACACAGTGGCTCAGCGGGCATGTCTACAATTTTGTTCAGCCTTCAGTAGTCACCAGTGAGAGGTTACAGATGGTGGTTTGCAGATGGGGACCAAAGACACTGGGCAATATTTGGTTGATGGAAATTACTGTGCAACCAGCAGTGGATATCAGACAATCAGCATGGCAATTACTGGCAGTGGAAGGGCAGAGACAGGAAGTGGTGAAACAAATACATTTGCTGAGGGGCAGCAGGTAGATAAGGAGGAGAATAGGGCACTGTATCATTCAATGTTCAGATTTAAAGAACGAAAACCTTGAATAAGTCCACTCTGCCATACTATTAATGAACTGATGTCCTGCTGCAAGTACATAAAGTGTTCAGGGATCAATGACAATTAACACCGCTATTTTGCTTTAACTTTTTTTAAAAAAGTATGGTGCATGTTACACAAGGACACTTGCTTGTGAAGGAAACCTTTAATTCAGTCACAGCTTTGCTGATGACTGATACATTCTCGTTCACTTTTGGAAGCACTCATTAACTTCTCAATTCTTCTTTGTTGTTAATTTTAGTCAGCAAATTTTAAAGGAACTGATTTTTTTTTTGAACCCTTAGGCCTGATTAAATCAAAGCTCCATCAATAATAATACTGACTGGATGCTAATTTGGACCAATTAATCATTTCCTAAATAAGAAAATAAGACCAATACAATGAAAAACTACTTTGATGACTGCTGTAGATAGCTCATTTTATCTTAAGAAAGGAATTTTTGTTTGCATTAAGAACTGTACTTATATTGTGCCAAACTCTCAAACTTGGAACATATCCATTTTAAACTTCTGCCGTGACTGATATTCAAGAACACCCCCTCTCATTCGGGGAGATTGCTAGCCAGGAGATGGAGATGGATTGCAACACTACTGTGATGTGCGCCATTTTGGGTGGAAAACCAGACAGATTCCACAGAAATCCTCAACCTGCTAGCTATTATTAATGGAGAACTCTTTGGCTAAGTCCATTGATCTTATAAAATATATACCACAATGCTGTCCATTTGAATATGAAAACGGCAATCATTGAGTTGGGGGTGTTGGCTACAAAAACATGTGCTCCTGGTCATCAGAACAGAACACACCTAAGTTATTACAATCGTGTTGCTCTTCAAAAAGAGAAACTTTATTCTCTCTGGGCTGTATACAAAAGTGGTGCTGCAAATAATATTTCAATAATGAATGATTTAAATACATTACCATGTCTAATTTTCTTTGTAATGGACACTTGGCATTTGATGCATTTCTTCATTCTTACAGAACACTCTGTGAATGAAAGAAATGTCAGAAATCAGCACCTGCAATACATTTACTATTTCATTTAAATTTCTTGCCACACAGTGAATAAGATTAAGTAGATTAGAGATTAGCATGCTGTGTGCATTTGAAGAGTTTCACAAAAATACCTTTGGTTGGTACTTCATACAGTCCAGCATTACTATTTAGTTACCAAGTTGGGTGCGATAATGGTTGGTCAATGTGCTCCAATTCTTTTTTGGGTATTGACAGTGCTAAAAGCATTCTTTTTTCTCTCTGAACAGAGTAGCTAGTGCATATTGAGTAATTAACATTCTTTATTTGGAGATTGTACTGATGCATGTGCAATTATGCACTTGGACATCATCAGTATTTGTGAATGAACGATCCAACACACCATGAAAACCAGACAATAAATGATTAATTTAACAGTTACTATACGGTTCACCCTTTCCTTCAACATTCATAGTTCCAACATCATCTAAACCATAGGCTGTACTTTCCTCCGCTAAACTGCCTAAATTTAAAACTGGAAGATAGACAGGAGGAAAATTAGGCTGGAAACAATACTGTTGTAGCCCCACTCTGCCCTCTGTTTTACTCTCCTGTCTCAGCTATAAAGCTTTTGAAATCCTTATCACTGCCTTGTCTCATGTAATTGGCCACAAGGAGGAAGAATCTAGTGACACACCACTGACACTGTTGCTCCCAAACAGCACCAAGACAGGGAGTGATGGTGGGCCTGAGGGCAGTGGATGATGGTCTGCTGAAGCCCTTTTTTGAAGGAGACGCCACAAATACTGGATCATATTCTCTTAATCCAGAGCTTAAACTGTACATTTCTTAAACCTGTCCCTTTGACGGTGGGGATGCTGAAAGGAGCTCATCTTGCAGCGATTAGTGATACTTACTAAGAAGGCAGACTTTGGGGAAAAAAAAAGAACAAATTAAACATTATCTCCTCAAATGAAGTAAACTCCTTAAGATTTCAGACATCTACATCTGTGTCATACTCAGTTAAAAACAATAACTTTGTTGCATCTTCAACTATTACAGACTGTGGCATGGTGATTTCATTCAGTGACATTCTTTTCTTCAGAACCTTCTCCCATCTTAACAGGTGTGGTGCAGTTTACAGAACCAGGCTATTTTCTACTCTCATGGCACCTTTCCCTTCATCTCTCTGCATCGAGAAAGCACTTTTTTTTTTGCATTTAACTTTGAGTTATTCCTTCTTTTCATGTCCATAAATGCCCTGAGTGTCATTTTAAAATACAACCAAAATATTACCTTTGTATTTCTTTTAATTTGTCGACCCATTTCCAGATTTGCAGTCAGGTACCAGGGACAGGAGGCAGTCATGACTCAGTCACATACTGGCACACTTTTTGTCTCCTTTACAAAACTGTTTGTGTGAGACTCCATGATCATGCTTTCCACTACTTGCAAGATCTAGTTGTTAAATTGTTTTTCTGTCTGTCAAACTACTGGTTATAGCATCAAATTACTATTTAGGCAAATGTGGTTGGCTGTCCCTTTTTAGTTGCAGTTATTCAAATCCCAAGCTGGCAACTTGTGCTCATTAGACACGTATTTCTGTGGTTTCAGTATCATTTCAACATTACTGAAGACAAATGTAGGGCTTTTGTGGTGCAGTGCTAATATCCCTACCTTGGAGCCATATGGCCCGGGTTCAAGTCTCTCCTGCTTCAGAGGTGTGTAATAAAACGACTGAACAAGTTGATTAGAAAATATCTTGAACACAAATATTGCCCCTCTTCACAGGATGCTCACAGAGCAGGAGGAGGTCATTCTGCCAATTATGAACCTAGCCCCCTGAAGGAACAATTTTCTTCTGCTTTTCCCACATAACCTGCAAATTGTTCCTCTTCAGGAAACAATCCAATTCACTTGTGAAAGCCTCAGTTGACACTACCCCTCATACACACACAGCCAGGGCATTCCAAATCCTAACTTTTCAACGTGAAAAAACATTTTTTCAACGTGAGAAAAAGATTTTTCTCATGTCTCCATTGCTTCTTTTGCCAGCCACCTTAAATTGATGCCTTCTGATCCTTGATCCATCCAACAACTTTTTGCTTTGTCTATTCGGTCCACACCACATGCTTTGAAATACCTCTGTTTCCTCCCAACCTCCTCTTCTCCAAGGAGTACACTTCCAAATTCTCCAATCTTTCCACATAACTGAAGTTCTTCATTTCTGGAACCATTCTCAAGAATTATTCCTGCACCTTCTCTCATACCTTCACATCCCCCCTAAAGTGTGATGCCCAGAACTAGACACAATACACAAGTTGAGACTCAACTAGAATTTATGTAGGTTTAAATAACTTGGCTGCTTTTGTACTTTGTGCCTGTATTGATAAAGTCCAGGATGCTGTAATCTTTATTTGCCACTCTGTCAATCTGTCCTGCCCCTTCATTGAGTTATGCACGTGCGCACACACACACACACACTCCTTTGCTCCTGCATCCTCTTTAGAGTTGCACCTTTATCTTGTCTCTCTATGCTGTCTCCCCATGTTCTTCCAATCAAAATGAAACACTTCACACTTCTCTGCAAAGTTTATCTGCCACTTGTCCAATCATTCCACCAACCTGCCTACGCACTTTTGAAGTTCAACACTCACAGTACACAATACTTCCAAGTTTCATATAATCCACAAACTCAAAACTGTGCCTTAGTACACCTTAGTAAGATCATGATACACATTAGAGCAAAAGTCATAAAACCGATCCCTTAGGAATTCCACTATAACCCTACTTCTAGTCTGAAAAACAACTGTTCACCACTAGAATCATAGAACACTTACAGTGTGGAAACAGGCCATTCAGTGCATTGAGTCCACACTAACCCTCTGAAGAACGTCCCACCCAGATCCACCCCTCCCCAACCCTTTTCCTAAAATCTTGCATTTCCCATGGCTAACCCACCTAGCCTGCACATTTCTGGACACGATGGACAACTTAGCATGGCAAATCCACCTAATCTGCACATCTTTGGAATGTGGGAGGAAACCGGAGCACACGGAGGAAAGTGTGTCTCAGGCAGACATGGGGAGAATGTGTAAACTTCATGCAGTTGCCCGAAGGTGGAATTAAACCCAGGTCCTGACTTTGAGAGGCAGTAGTGCTAACCACGCAGCCACCATGCCGACCACTATTTGCTTCTCCTTATTCAGCCAATTTCACATCCATGTTGCTGCTGTCCCTTTTATTCCATGGGGAGGGCTAACTTCGCTCAAGTCAATTATACAGCACATCACCAAGCACCTTTTGGGAGCTCATATACACCATATCAAAATGTTTAGTGAAATGAGGCAAATTAGGCCTATCATGCTTAAAACTGGTTCCACTCATTACTCCATTCTCAAAAGCTAAATGATTAGTTCCACCGGAAACTAAAGATTCAATTTACTATAATGTTATTCGTGAGCAACAATACATCTAAATATACGTATCTGTTGTCGTTCACTGTCAGAGATTGTAAAGCATACCTTCACAGACTACAGAGTGTTGACAGGGGGAAAACTGAACCAGTAGGGACAGCTCAGAACACACTAGGCACTCAGCTGGACCCGCTGATGCTGGCAGTAAAAGATTTGTCATAGTATTTGGAGTTGTGTGGACTCGCCGCAGAACTGTTGTCCCTGCTGATTGCAGCTGTGATCCCCTGGAATAAACAGCAACAGAAAGGATTAAAGGACTCTTCTTACAGAAAGTTTAAAACAAAATCCCGCACTCCTGGCAATTCTCTCTTATGTAGTTGTTGGCAGTGTGCAATCACAGGAAGGTGGATGCAGCCATCCACTCAACAACTTCAAGATGATCATGAAAGTAACACCAAGATCAGCCGTTAGACAATGTAACTGTGCCTATCACTTTGGATTATTCCACCTGGTGGCATGGCAGACAGTTAGCTGATCTGAAAGTTGAACTGCTGTGGGATTCAACCTTTGACAACTGCAGAGTGAGAGAGTTAGACTGTAATGATCAATGCTTTACAAATCACAACATACAACAGATGATGTGTTATATAACACTCTTTATAAAAAAATTACATAAACACATATTTGGCCATTCACACTCCAGACATCATTAACCAAAGTTCCATGTTACATTTATGAACAAAAAGTAGAAAGAAAATAAAATGTAGCAATTGGAATCTACAGGAGAAACTCCACAAACTCAATGAACCGGAACTGAAATCTCTGCCTTGGAATTGATTTTCTTAAAAGCAAAGCCAAAATGCTGAATCAATTAAAAAGTTTATATATCATTCAATATTGTGGCTTGAAGGAAAAACAACTTTCGTTCAAGGAAGGGTTTATTCAGAGTGTTGTGTGGCACAGTAGCCCCATCCTTAAAACAAAACAATGCATTCTCTGGATTACTGTGAGCAGCAGCACAGGAAATTTGCTTGTAATTATATAACCAATATATAACAAGGAGTGGTTTTGGTTTTCCAGTTGTAACAGTGAGGGGAATCCTTTACTCTAACTGGGTTACTGTCAGTGTTACAATCAGAAAAGGTAGACCAGTTTGGTTGGAGTGCATTTCCTGCCCATCCCACTTCCAAGAGTCACATTCAAGTTTCTGTGCTACACTTTGAAGTTTAAGAAACACAATAACTCGTTAGGAACACAAAACAGCAAAGGCAGGACGTCTGCAATCTCAGACATGGTATGAACTCACCCAGTGTTTACTTAATGGCAAGTAGACTTTGTAGCCTCAAAGGAACACCCATTCTAGGAGAATAATAAGACTTTATGTGGTATAATGTTTCTATCTTGTCAAACAGTGCATCCTCTGACTAATGACAAGCACCATGACATTTTTATACAGACATACACACACAATTAGTCTGTCAGTAATATTTAACGTTTTGTTAAAACTGATCCTGGAATTTGAAGGTATCCCCAGTCAATTCTACAGAAGTGTCTGACAACAGCAGAACCTTGTAATTCTTCTCACCTGTTTAAACAGCAATGGATAAAAAAATGGGGGAGGGGATGGAGCTTCCAATGGGATAAATTCTAATAAACTAGCTTAAAATACTATCACAGATTTAATCAAATCCCCATATTCTGTGTTATCTGGTTTTCGGTCACTGACGAACAGAGTAGCCGCTAGTGTTTGACGGTAAAATTAATACAATTTGTTTAATTTGTTAACTAACTGGGAGGCTGGTACCTCTCGATAACATTAATCAACACACTTCAGCTTAAAAGAAAGCACAGATAAAAAATAATTAACAATAACTGGACAATTTTCCAGATTATTGTGAAAATGTATTATGAACAAAACCATCACATTTTCAGGTTTGACAAGATTGTGTTTCTTATTTGCTGCTAATAGCATTGTCTTAAATTTGCATTTAGCTCAAAGGCTATTGGGCACTACCTGTGCTTTGCCCTTATAGCCATTTCTGAAGTGAGCTTAAACACTGAACGTTGACAGTTATTTGACAGCAGAGCCACCACAGGTAAGTCGAACTTTGTCCAAATTGAGATATCATCAGAAATTGAAACCTTACCACTATGACACACCGCGTCCCCCCACCATCCATACCCTCTGCCAACTCCCAGTCCTGCTGCACTGTTACACAGAAGGCAACTGCTTTCATTAACCATCCCAGCCCAAGTAAGTGCCATAAGGAGGGGAGGGCATAACACGATAGGGCAAGGAACAAACATATACCAGGCTGGTTCACTGGTGGTTTAAGGAACAATGCTACAGATGTTAATAGCTAGCCCAAACTGACACTGAGGTTGAAGGTCTGCCCACCTTTTCTACATTTGCTCATGGTGTATAATGAGATTAATTCAATAAAGAGGATGATCACTGGACTCAAAACGTTAACTGTTTCCTTCTGCACAGTTGCTGCCAGACCTGCTGAGTTTCTGCAGCAATTTGTTTATTTTTTCAGATCTCCAGCATCCACAGTTCTTTCATTTATTTCATGTGAGAGTTTGTAATGTCTGTGTTAGGGGCAGAATGTAATCAAGACTAAGATAACCAAGACTAAGAGTAAGTGACATAGATGATATTGCTATTTTACCTGAATTTCTCTGCAAAACTCTTGACCATCTGTATAATCCTGCCATTTGTGACCAGATCGAGTGGTGTTTTGCCCTTGTAGTTAGTGTAGTTAATATCAGCACCCTCCTGGGCCAGGAAGCAGGCAATGGCAGCACCTACGCTAAGGTCTGTAGATCCCAATAACCCAGAAGCCTGCAACTAAGCAGCAAAGGAACAAGATTTAAGATGAAACTTTTAACAAATATAACAATGCAGATTTTGCATACAAAACAAGTGAGATGCTAAATAGACAGTTATTTACGAAACTTCATGCAAGGGGCAGATATTCAGTTAAATGCCAATATCAAGGTTGTTGTCAGAACCTGAGAAATAGGAGCAGGAGCTGAGCAGCTCCACAATTCAGTACAACAGTGGCTGGCCTTTAACTCCACTTTCCCAACTGTGGCTCATTTCCCTCAATTCTAAGAGACCAACATTCTGTCTATCTTGCCTTCAGTAAATCAAAGATAGAGCATTCACAATTACTTGGATAGATAATTACAAAGATTCATATCCCTTTGAGTGGAGAAATTTCTCATCTCACTCCTAAATGATTTGTACCTTGTCATCAATTTGTATTTGAGATTCCTAAGCCAGAGGAAACAGTCTCTCAATGTGGCTATCCTGTCAAGCCCCTTCACAATTTTGTGTGTTCCAATCAGATTACCTCTCATTCTTCTAAACTACAGGATTATGGCTCCAATTTACTCAGCCTCTTATCACAAGTCTGCCTTCTCAATGCAGAAATCAATATGGTGAAAATTTGCTGCATTGCCTCCAATACAAGCATATCCTGCATTAAATATGGAGACCAAGATAGCATACAATACTCCAGTTGTGGGATCAAAGCCCTGTACAAATGTATCAACACATCCTCATTCTTGTATATCAGTTTCCTTGTAATAAAGGCCAACAGGCCATTTGGTATCCAAATTGCTTGCTGAAAAAAACTGCAGGTTAACTTTCTAGGCTCCTTATCTATGTTCAGCCAAGTCCCTCTGAATATCAACATTTACAAGTTCCGTACCTTTTAAAAGATTTTCTGCTCTTATTACTAAAGCGAATAACCTCACACTTTCTCATATTGTACTATATTAGCTATCTTTGTTGCCAACTCACTTTGTCTGTCTGTATCTCTTTGCAGCCACTGCGTCCTCCTCTCAGCCTGCACCCTCTACACACACCCACCTCCCACCCCAGCTTTGCATCTTCAACAAACTAAGGTCCACTAGCTTTAGCAAATTGACATTTCATTTTTCTGCTCCATCACTGAAATACATTGAATATTCTGGAGTTGATGCGAGGGAACAAGCATCCTTTTAGTAATTGATACTTGCTCAATGATGACCAATCAAATCCTTTGAACTTAACTTTAATTGCAAAGCCTTGTTCCTTGGACATTAATTACTTAAGATTTTAAAAATTTACAGAAGATTACGAAATAAGAAATTAAGAAATATTTTTTAAAAAATTAACAGTTCATTTTTTGCTTCCTTAATTCTATCTTTCTTTTGCATTATCTAATTGGACAATGGATTCACCCTCGTTTTTTGTTCTGCTACTGTTTATTCCTCAATCTTTAAATCTCATTGCTGAAGGAGATACCCTACTGGTTGCAGTTTCACGCAGGCCTCATATCTTGTTTCTCTCACTGCTCAAACTCTCAGTTCACAGTCAGAAATGTTTCTCCTGTAAATTTCTGAGTGGATGACTGCTGGGTAAATCACACTAATGGCACATAAAGTGCAAGCAGCAGGGTATGTATGCTGAAATTATTACAAAATACACAACATTAATTTTACAAAAACTGTCATTTAAGCACATGGTCGGAAATAGTATAGTTCCTTTACATCTTATTTCAATGTATTTACATGCTATTAAATGCAGGGCAGGAGGGGACAGTATAACAACCTCTTTAAAATCTCTACCTTTCTTCCCTAGGAAGCAGAATGTGTACTTTTGAAAGCAAGCTAAACTTGAATTGGAATATTGAAAAGGAAGAGTAGAATCTTGATGGTTTTTCAGGACCAGTTATACCATTTCTCTCTCATCACAGCCCAAACAGAAAGAAATTTAGTTTAACATATATAAGCAAATCTCAAATATTTTGTGTTACTACATACCAAGACATAATGAGTATTTTAAAATACGTACATTTCTCTTATAGACACTTGTGTAAGATCTCCTATATGGCCTATTTTAAACCTACATTTGCATAAAGTGAGCTGGTATCGCCTTCCCGTGATAGCATGGTAGTTGCCAGCTGCTGACGGCAGAGTGCCACATGCATAGCGGTATCGCCATCTTCATCCTCTGCATTCACATCGCAGCCTTCAGTAACCAAGAGCTGGACCATGTCAGTGTGACCCTGCGTAACCGAAAGTTGCAAAGGAGTCTGGTTCCGATTATTCCGAACGTTAGTCTCACAGCGACCCTGTGGAGAGGAAAATATGATGTAGCCTTTTGCAGTTATGTAATCGTTGTCAGTTTGTAACTTCTGCAATAATGTCTCTAATTTGCAATCAGCCCAAACCTGATAGGACACAAACATTGGTATCCTGCTCTGTGCAATGATGACTGTAAAGCCGAATTTCACATGCTGACAGTAAAAATAAAGACTGAAGCAGATTATTTCATTGAGATCAAGGGGAAAAGATTACAGCATTGAGTTAAAATGAACCAGGTTTAAAGGACGAATAGAGGCCAGAAAATAAAGGTACTACTGCTGGAAAAAGGCACATTTTATCAAAGCATGTTCTCTTCCATTAATCAGGACAATTTGCAAGAAATATCAATTCAAGCAGAAAACCTATATTAACACTCCATGAAAGGTATGCGCTAATTCGTTAGCAAGTGGACTCTGATTGTTGGAAGTACTGCTGTGGAGGATGCACTGTTAAAGCTGATTAACGGTCAAGTGCCAGAACTTGTTTAAATTTTAAACCAGGCAGGTTGACGCTGATTGGTCAAGGCTTTGCCCTAAGAACTGAACCAGCAAATGGCTGTCACCTATTTTGTGGAGTTAAAACATGCGCAGAAAGAGTTCATGTTCCTCTGTCTGCAAAGAACAAATATAATTGGGAAGCAGATTGTGGATGTCAGGATTTCAGGGTGAAAAGACTGCAAATTGTAGCAGAAAGCAAAGAGTGAGAGAAACGGACAGTTCCATGGCTTTTAGATTCTGAGTAAAAATTACTTTGATTAAGCAGCACCTTTGTCTCTAGTATTGTGGATGCAGGGAAAGGGAAATGCACAACAGTGGGGAGACAGTTTATATAAAAATGCAGGTCCATAAGTGCAATGGCTGTACGGCAATATGAAATAACCATGGGAAATGTAGGGTTGTATGGCTGGGATTCTTTTAGGGTAGCACAGTGGCTCAGTGGTTAGCACTGCTGCCTTACAGCGCCAGGGATCCGGGTTCAATTCCACCCTCAGTTGACTGTCTGTGTGAAGTTTGCACATTCTCCTCGTGTCTGCGTGGGTTTCCTCCCACAGTCCAAAGATGTGCAGGGTAGGTGTCCAGGAATGTTTAGGTTAGGTGGGTTAGACATGGAAAAACGCGGGGTTAGGGGAGTGGGTCTGGGTTGGATGCTCTTCGGAGAGGCGGTGTGGACTTGTTGGGCCGAATGGCCTGTTTCCACACCATAGGGATTCTATGATTCAAAAGACAAGAAAATTGTACACTGCAGGTGTCAAGCTTTTCCTTATAATATCCTGCAGAGGAGAGTTGGAGATAAAAGCTGAGATCAGAAAGGCAGAACAAAAAGGACCACCAAGCCTGGGTGTCCTAATCTACTCATTACTTGGGTTTCAAACTCCACAATCAAGTACAAGTTGTGGGCTTCAGCTACTGCACCATGAGGAATGAAGGAGGTTGTGCTGTTGTCATCATTACTGGCTGTCCCTGGATTTGAGGATGACATCTTCTCAGGACCTTAAGTTTCTACCATGGGTCTTCACGGAACTGAACAGGCCGATCGTCGACGAGCATACCTTCGGGTACTCGGGGCAGGGCGTCCCACCAGGCAGCGAGATCCAGAATGCAGAATTTGTTTCCTTTTCCTTCCTTCTCGATAACTGCTCTGCCTCACTGTCATGGTGTTGGGACTCAAGATGTTGTCAATTTGAATGACAGGTAGCAAGCTTCTCTCATTCATTAAATTCAATGCTGCTCCACTTCAAGGAGATCTTCAAAGCATTGTTACAGAGCTTTCGTTGTCCTCCCCAGAATGCTAGTTATTTGAGAGTTGAGAAAGCAGGGCATGGTGGGTGCTGTATTCTCCAGATTCAATGTGAAGATTGTTGAAGAAACACTACTGTCTTTTTTGAAGCTAGCTCTACAAGCTACAAGGCAAAACACCCGCAAAACCAGCTACAGGCACTGCTTCTGGTAACTGAAATCCATCACCCCCACCAAATCCTGGAGATTGTGCGCACTGAAAGCGATTGAAATTGGAACGTGGACTGAACCATTAGCAAACTTTAAGTTGAGTTTAATTATGACTGCATTGAGGTAAAACAAAGTTCATGATGAATTGAAAGCATTTGTAAAGACGTGTGACTTCCGTGCTCCTCAATTGCTGTCTGACCTGCTGTGTTTTTCCAGCTCTACATTTATTGACAGTATTAAAAATATACTTTAGAAAAACAACAGAAGCCAGCTGAAAGCAGTGTTGCTCTCAGGGATCAAACCAATAGTACGTAATATCTCAGAAATTAAGTCTCTTCTGCACGACATTTCACTTTGGTGTACAAAGCACATATGGCACTAATGAGAGCTTGTTACGATGGGACTTAGCAAAGACCTAGTCTGATTATGAAATGTGTTTCTAAAATAAGATTCGAAGTCATGGCTTTCTATGTGTCACTATTGGCTGGCATGTTATTGAAAAACCGCATTTCATGTATTTCAGAACAGATTAGATTTAAAAGAAAAATGGCACTGGCAAAACAGTAAGCATTCACTGATCACTTTAAAAAACAAAATCAGTCCATATCAAGAGATGTACCAGACCAGTAAATGACTGGAGCCCAAATGGACAGTTACAAATATTGAAACGCTGGTTTAGATCCTTCTGAATCCTGCGTGTTTTTCAAACTGCTCATCCTAAAACATATGTTCTGCATTATATTTGGAAAGGAAATTGTCAATTTACCGTCTACAGCTCCGATAGATTGTGCTGGACTTTCTTCCTTGCAAACCACCCCAGTGTGGTGTTTTATAAAGATATTCAATTACATGTGTTACAGAGATAAACAAGTCACAAAAAGAGCACAGGTATTCGATCACAATTATTTCTCCAGCCTTTCAGACACTTATAGTATTTCCTGAAAACAATACACTTGACAAATAATCAGCAGATTGCAATTATTAGAAATATTTGCCAGTGCATAGTATTGAAGCATGGCATTCAGCACTAAGAGCATACACTGACATAGACAAAACTGATGACATATTATTGAAATATTCCATAAATTTAAAGCATTGGCTTATTACAATTCAAGTGCAATATGTGGATGGTCAACCAAAACATTAGACCCATTTCTCTCTCCACAAATTTCACCTGACTCTTTGAATATTTCTAGCATTTTGTGTTTTCATTTCAATGATTTCCTATAAATTGCTGCAGATAATATTTAATGGTGGGGCTAAATTGTATGGAATGCTGTGCAATTGATTTCCATCTATTTTTGGCCCCTAAATCCTACAGTGCAGACAATGTAAGGCACAAGGTCTAACCCACTACAAGGCAAGATAGCATCCACAGTTTGCAGTGAGCTCAAGTGGGTGATCACTTGAACGTTTTCTTGTAGACATTGAAGTTTACTTCAGCTTTTATACCACTTATACTTTTTTGTTCTTTGCATCACTACCATATCAATAGATCTCCCTCTTAGCTAATGACCATAAACAGATGCCAGGAAGCCTGGCTTGCTTGGTATAGTTCTGTGTCGTCTTATCAGGATCCACAGATCTGGATTTGCAATAAGTAGTGAAATTACCATACTTCAGCAGATGATCAAAGCAGCCATAATACACAAAGAGAGACATCTTTATTGCCAGATGAAACAATTCTGCAGCAGACATCACAACAGCCGCCAATGAACAAGAATTGTGATTATTAATAGATATAACTAAAGCTGCTCTCACAAAAACACTGAACGAAACAGGGCCCCCACCAAAAAAGTCTCCTTTTCTTTCTCTCCCCCCTCCCTCCACAACCCCTCCCCATCTCCAACAGGTCTGGTCACAGTAATTGACAAATGCCAAAATGGGATCACAATGGAAACATGTTTAGAAAGCACTGATAGAAAGTGTCCTATTTATCTAACATACTGCTGGTGCTGTTGGGCAACATCCTGTTTGTTAAATGAACAGCATTTAAAACTAGCTCATTTGGAGAGAATCGTGTCCACAGTTGAATGGAAAATATGACTATATTAAACGGATGATTCTGGCTGCGTCTGTGATTCATTTGATGCTGTTATGAAGTGAGAAGAATAGACTTTAATCCTAAATAAAACAATTTTGACTGAAAATATTTTTAACTCATTCAGCACAAGGGTCTTTTTTCTTTCTCCTCCAAAATATGGTAGCATTTAGCGATAACAAAGATTCAACTTTGTTGTTCAAAAGGGAGCTGAATGATTATGTAAAATTATGAGGACTATGATGAAAGGCAGAGGTAAGTGGCTAACTGTGTAACAGAGTGCAAGAACAGATATGATGAGCCAAATGGCTGCTTTTTCTGCTGCAACTATTCTATGGTTCCAGAAGACTAAATTAAAAGTTGCGAGCATTATTGTGGTTATCTCTGGGGCTGAATTCCCACTCTGGGTCAGCAGCCTGAAGTGATATCTGTTCACCCAATATCTGGCTACAACATAAAGCAGGAAAAGACAGTAGGAGGGTCATGTTCAAGGGAGCAGGTGGTGGTAAGTGACAACTGAACTTTGTTCTTCTGAAGCCAACTAAGTTATCTGGAAACAAATACTGAAACCAACAATAAGATTCAAAAACAGAAACAGCTGTTCTGAAGGAGGATCAGCGGACCTGGCATGTCAATTCTGCTTTCTCTCCACAGATGCTGCCAGACCTGCTGAGTTATCCCAGCCTTTTCTGTTTTTGTTTCTAACTTCCAACTCTCACAGTTCTTAGGGTTTTTCCAACAGTGAGATCTACTGATTGACTGAATGCATACATTGTTGGGTAAGCAAGTGTAATTTTTTTTAACAAATCTTATTTATTTTGTACTTGACATTAAACTGAAAGCTACATTTTAAATTCCATAGTTGCCAGCCTTATGCAGGGTTCTTTCAAGTGTTGGAGTGAAAGAGCGGCTCAGTGAATGAACGGCTGAAACTGGATCTTCATAAAGTGCCTCAGATAGTTTTTGTATTAGGAGCAGATATAAATAGACAACTTAGTGTGACTTAACCTTTCAGACTATAACTTACAATAGCATGCCGGAGTTGAGTGTGGGAAGAGAAAGAAACGTTTTGTTGTTTTTACCTAAACTTTTTCAGCTTCCAGGAATTGCTCTACTATGTGAAGAAGCAGCTAATTAATTGGTGAGTGTCTGGCAAATGATTAAGAATTATTCTAAGGCTCAAAATACTATATTTTGAATGGCAGGAGAGGACAAAAAGCGCCGATTGAGGGGCCTATCTGCAGTGAGACCAGAGTCAGATTGTGGTTTGTCACATCATAGTGATGTGATTGCAGAAAAAGCAGCTGATTGATGTAAAAGTCTAATCTTTAAAGTAAAAATAAGGTCTTTAGTTTGTGTTTAGGTCTCTTGACATTTTTAAGAAAAAGAGAGAAAAAAATAGCTTGAGTAGGAATGATACTGGTGTAAAAATTTAATTATAAAGTGCGAAGAGTGGGAACACGAGAAATAGATAACTATAGACTGTATAAAATACTATAATGAGGGCAGGTTGGGTGATGCTTTGCTGCTACAGCATGTGGGAGGTGCTGTACATCAAGGTGGCCCAGAGAGAATAGACATGCAGTAAATATTTCCAGCTTGACTTTGATCAAAGCTAAACAGCTGGAATCTGAATTGTAGACATTGCAACACATCTTGGAGGGGAAAAGTTAGTTAAACACTTTTGTCCAGGAATCAGTCACACACGTTAAATTTGAGGGATGGAGCTGGGCAACAAAGACAAATGAACAGAAACAAAATAGCAGTAGGGGATAGGATAATTAGGGTATAGATACTGTTTTCTGAAGTCCCAAAGGCTATGTCATCTGCCTACTGCCAGGGTTAAGAATATCTCCCACTTGGAGAGAGAGGGAGGGATCCATCTGTCATTGTCCATGTTGGTACCAACAACATTAATAAGATGAGATAAGTGGTGGATTATAATGTGGGTAAATGTGAGGTTATGCACTTTGGCATGACTAATAGAAGTGCTGAATCGGTTTGGAGAGGTTGTTTCTCCTTGTGGGAAAGTTTAGGACCAGATGGCATAATCTCAGAGAAATAGACCATCCAGCTAGGGCAGAGATGAGGAGGAATTTCCTCTCTCAGAAGGTAGTCAATCTGTGACATTCTTTACATCAAGATCTTTCAAGGTCAGGTTGCGAAGAAGTGTATTCAAGACTGAGAGAGGCAGATTTTTAATCAGTAAGGGAATCAAGGATCATGGGGATAAGGCAGGGAAGTGAAGTTAAGGCCTATCAAATCAGCCGTGACCTCACTGGAGCAGACTCAATGGGCTGAATGGCCTACTTCTGCAACTACGTCTAGGGGTCTGATGCTGAAAGACTTTTTTTTTAGAAACAGTTGGAAACCCAGTTAAAAAGCAGAACATCCAAGGCAATAATGTGGTACAGTAAGGTCAAGGAGGTTGAGTTTGAGCAATATCAAAGACTGGTGTGAGAGGAATGAGCTGCTCTTTGTGGGCCACTGGCACCAGTGCTGGAGTAGAAGGGAACAGTTGTGGTGGCACAGGCTTCACTTGAACCACGCTGGCACCACTGTCCTGGCAAATCAAATAACTAGGGCTGTAGAAGGCTTTGAGCGAAATGGTTGAGGGGAGGGGTTAGGGGTGAAGGTTTCTGGGGAGCAGACATGCAGGAGATACAAAGCAAAATCATATGGCAGCATTGCAGGGCAGCTATTTAGGTCATGATACCCAGAGTGGGACAGGAAGGACACAGTGTGCAAACATCAAAAACAAAACATTAAATAGAGTCAAAGGAATGAAAATTGGTTTTAAAAAAGGAAATAAATAGTGGCTCTTTATTTTAAAGTAGTGTTCAGAACAAAAATTGACTCATGACACAAATGGAGGTTGACGAGTATGATCGTACAGCTATGTGGAGACGCTACAGGGAGATTAAAGCTGGAAGCTAAATATTCAGAGGTATGTGACTTTTTGAAAGGACAGGCAGGAAGGAAAGATGATGGGGTACTTTTGTCAGTACAAGATGAAATAAGTACAATAGCAGGAAATGATCTTGGATGAGATGACATAGAATCCATAAGGGTGAAGGTAAGAATTAATAAATGCCACTGGCAGGTGAATACTATAAGTCCCCTAACAGTAGGTATATTGTAAGACAGAATAAATCAGGAGATAATAAGGGCATGTATAAAAGACAGTAAATTAAATCAAGGGAGACTTCACAACGATTGGGAAAATCAGAGACTGCCATAAGGAACAATTATAGCGTGTATTCAGGATACTTTCTGAGAAAATGTTGTGGATCCAATACGGATCAGGTTATTTTGGATCTGGTGATGTGTAGCAAGGCAAGTTTCATGAATGACCTCAGGAGTTTAAAAAAAACTCTTAGTAAACTGTGACAACAACATGGTAGAATATAGCAAAATGTGGAACTTGGGTTGGAAATAACTGTGCTGAGCTTACATAAGGGTCATTTTGAAGGAACAAGAACTGACTTGGCTGGAATGGCCTGGGAATGGAGTTTAGCAGAAAAGATGGTTGACGAACAATGGTAGATGTTTAGGAAAATTGTTCATGATTCACAATAAACATATACCCAGTGAAGACAAATGATCAGTCATGTTAGCCAAGGAAATTAAGGATAGTACCAAACTAAAAGAAAAAAATTTCAATGTGGCAAAATTTGTGGTAAGTTAGAAGATCAGGAAAGATGAAAAATAAAGAAAGGCCAAAGTGAACAGTGGCCCCTTAGAAAATGAGGCATGGAAAACAATAACAGGGAACCAGGAAACTGGCAGAAAAGTTGAATAAATATTTTGCATCAGCCGTCACAATAGAAGACACTAGTAGCATTTCAAAACTACTAAATATTCAAGAGGAGAAGGAAATCAATTCAATAATAGAAAAGAAATACTAGGGACGCTAATGAAGCTAAAGGCTGATAAAAGTCCCTTGGATTGCACCCAACCTAGGCTATTAAAGGAAGTAACTATAGAGATAGTGAATAGAATGGCAGCAATCTTCCAAGAAGCCTGAGATTCTGGAAAAGTCCCACAGGATTTAAAAACTGCAAATATAACACCCTTATGCAAAAAGGTAAATATAGGCCAGTTATCTTAACATCGCATTGAAAAATGTTAGAGAACATTATAAAGGATGTAATAGTAGAGGATTTAACAATACATAATGTAATCAAGCACAGTCAGCATGGCTTCATTTTTGACAAAGTTTATTACTTTTTTTTGAGGTGGGAAAAAGCAGAATAGAGAAGTGGGGGGAACATTTTGGATTTCCAAAAGACGTTCAAAAACATTATCACACATAAAACTAAGAGCCCATGGTGTTGAAGGTAGCACATTAGCACAGATGGAGGATTGGCTAACTAATAGAAAACCGAGTTGGGATAAAGGGGGCATTTTCAGGATGGTAACCTGCAACTGGTGAAGTGTTACAAGAATCAGTGCTGAGGCCACAGTTACTTACAATGCATATTAATGACCTGGATGACAAAGTGAATGCATTATCACCCCAAGTTTGCAGCTGACACAAAGAACAGTGGGAGGGCACGTGGTTAAGATGACAGAGTCCCTAGAGTAATACAGACAGGCTAAGTGAGTGGGCAAAAGTTTGGCAATGAAACATGATGTGGCAAAATGTGAAGTTATGCACTTTGGTAGGAAGAATAAAGGAGCCGAGTATTATTGAAATAGGGAAGGACTGCAGAAAGTTGCAGTACAGGGGGAGTTGAGAGTCAGGCATGCCAGTTTTTTTTGAGATTCATCCATGGTCACCAAGTAATAGTGAAGGCAAATGGAATGTTGGCCTTTATTTCAAAGCCAATGGAGCATAAAATATGGCAGCTAAAACTATACAAAGCACAACTTAGAACGCATCACGAATAGTTAACAGTTTTTGTCTGCTTTTCTAAGGAAAAATCAAAGGTAGTGGCGACAGTCCAGTAGGTTGATCCTGACTACAGAGGGCTTTTCTTAAGAGGCGGAGTTGATTGGGCCTGTACTCATTGGAGTTTGGAAGAATGACAAGAGAACTTAATGAAAAATAATATTTTTAGGGGATTTGATGCTGAATCTATTTCCTTTGTGGGTAAATCTAGGACCAGACGGCATAATTTCAGAGTAAGAGGCTGCACATTTAAGACAGAGTTGAGAAGAAAATTTTTCTTGGAGGAAAGTGAATCTGTGGAACTCTTTATAGCGGAAAGCTGTAGAGGCTGGGTCATTAAAGACATTCAAAGCCGAGATGGACAGAATTTTAATCAGTAAACAAATTGAAGATTACGGGCTGAATGGTTTACTTCTGCTCCTGTATTATGGTCTTATGATTATTGATGACAGAAATATAGGTCAAAGGCAGAGGATGCAACAGAGGATAAATGAAGTCCTGAAGCTTGAGAGGTATTTGACAAAGAAATTTCATGCTAATCAATGTAAAATATAACACATAGGAAATTAAAACAGAAGCCTTATTATACAGTAAGTGGAACTGAATTTGTACAAAGATAGAAAAGGATCAGAGCATAACAGAGAAAGAAAAGGACTATGTACGAATTTACATGGAGTGCATTAGGCTACTGAGAGCAATTTGCTATCAGAGAATAAGGATTACATGCACATGATCCCACTTGTACACAAGTAAACAGAGGTCTGATGAATAAAACACTTGAGTTACACCTCCTAACACTCCACTTTTGAATCTTACTATGCACATTCAAGAAAAATCAGCACTCAAATTACGTCACTAGAAACACATATTGCATCTGATTTCCAACATCATGTATCCCAATAAGATTAACTGTTCTGCAGATTTCTCCAGTTCCACTTCATAATTCAAGTATGAGAAATAATTTTGAGGATATCAAAGTGCATTTCTGTATACTTGACTAAGAAAGACTATTTAGCGTTTAAAAAATTAAATGGTCATTAAGTAAATTATATTTCTACCTCTTTAATTAAAACTTCAGCTACTTCTTTATGGTTGTTCAGGGCAGCAAGATGGAGGGCTGCAAAACCATCCTCCTTCTTCACATCCACCAGCTGCCGTGCTCTGGCTAAAATTTTCTCTGTGGCTCTGTGGAGAGATGTTCAATAATATTAATGCTCCTCTTGCTCTCTATCAATGTATCAAAAACATTGAGTAAATATTTATAATAACTGTTCTGAATGATCTAAGCCTCAAGGTTTTTTTTAAAAATTCATTTGTGGGACGTGGGCATTGCTGGCTGGTCAGTACTTACTGCCCATTCCTTAGTTGCCCTCAATTTAGTGATTGTAATGAGGTCAGTCAGGTGGACCTCATAATATCAGTTCCCTAATCTGGTCCAATCAGGGAGTCCTGGCTGATAGGTATAAACAGGAGTGTCCGCTCCGCTCCACACCCCTCCAGCCCCACTACACCCGGCACTTTTCCCTGCAACCGCAGGAAGTGCTACACCTGCCCCTACACCTGTCCCCTCACCCCCATCCCAGGCCCCAAGAAGACCTTCCACATCAAGCAGATGTTCACCCGCACATCTGCTAATGTGGTATACTGCATCCGCTGCTCCCGTTGTGGCCTCCTCTACATCAGGGAAACCAAGCAGAGGCTTGGGGACCGCTTTGCAGAGCACCTACGCTCGGTTCGCACTCAACAACTGCACCTCCCAGTCGCGAACCATTTTAACTCCCCCTCCCATTCCTCAGACGACATGTCCATCCTGGGCCTCCTGCAGTGCCACAACGATGCCACCTGAACGTTGCAAGAACAGCACCTCATATTCGCTTGGGAACCCTGCAGCCCAATGGTATCAATGTGGACTTCACAAGCTTCAAAATCTCCCCTCCCCCTACCGCATCCCAAAATCAGCCCAGCTTGTCCCCGCCTCCCTAACCTGTCCTTCCTCCCACCTATCCCCTCCTCCCACCTCAAGCCCCACTCCCATCTCCTACCTACCAACCTCATCCCGCCCCCTCGACCCGTCAGTCCTCCCTGGACTGACCTATCCCCTCCCTAACTTCCCACTTACACTCACCTTTACTGGCTCCATCCCCGCCTCTTTGACCTGTCTGTCTCCTCTTCACCTATCTTCTCCTCTATCCTAATTCTATCCGCCTCCCCCTCTCTCCCTATTTATTTCAGAACCCCCTTCCCCGCCCCCATTTCTGAAGAAGGGTCTAGGCTCGAAACGTCAGCTTTCCTGCTCCTCTGATGCTGCTTGGCCTGCTGTGTTCATCCAGCTCTACACCTTGTTATCTCAGATTCTCCAGCATCTGCAGTTCCTACTATCTCGGTGTCAGACACCCTGTTCACTCTGAGAGCTGGCTCTGAGGAAGCTAGATCAGTGTCAAGGACTCTCCACGTGTAAATAAAGGGGGACTTCTTGATGGGATACCAGCCTCTGTGATGTTATTTCATTCAAGGAGGAGGTGGTGAGCTGCCTTCTTGAATTGTTGTAGTCCATGTTCTGTAGGTAGACACAAAATGCCATTAGGGAGAGAATTCCAGAATTAATGGCTCAGCAACACTGAAGGAATGGTGATATATTTCCAAATCAGAACAGTGAGTGGCTTGAGGGGAACTTGCAGAGGGTGGTGTTCCCACGTACTACTGTCCTTCTAGATTGAATTGGTTGAGAGTTTGGAAGGTGCTGTCTGAGATTCTTCAGTGAATTTCTTGCATCTTGCACAATGTATACACTACTGCTACTGAGCGTCAGCGGTGGAAACAGTGGATATTTGTGAATGTGGTGCCAACCATCCCATAGGGGCAGACTCCTAGTTCAAATCAAACAACACTAGTTTCTCAAACAAAGCCACAACTTCTGTGCTACTTTAACATTGGTGCCTTGCTCCCCTCAACTTTCACTATCCCAGAAGTTTTTTTTTCTTTATTCATTCATGGGATGAGGGTGTCACTGGATAGGCAGCATTTATTGTCCATCCCTAATTGCCCAGAGGGCAGTTAAGAGTCAACCACATTGCTGTGGGGCTGGAGTCACATGTAGGCCAGACCAGGTAAGGATGGCAGTTTCCTTCCATAAAGGACATTGGTGAACCACATGGGTTTTTACGACAATCGACAATGAATTCATGGTCATCATTAGATTGTTAATTCCAGATATTTATTGAATTCAAATTCCACCATCTGCCATGGCGGGATTCAAACCCAGGTCCCCAGAACATTACCTGAATCTCTGGATTAACAGTCCAGTGATAATACCACTAGGCCATCGCCTCCTCTATATCTCATTGTTCATCTCATTGTTAGTGGAGTCCTTCAACTGACAGAGTTTTAAAACTCCTTTATCCAATACCCCAAATTTCAACTGAACTCTGATGGATAGAGATAGTCCTTACTTCAAAACCGGATTGTTCTAAAACTAAACTGCTGCTCAAGATCAGAGCCAGCCTCACGGTCAAACTCATTTATAATTAACTTCTTGAGCTAACCTTGCTGTCTCCCAGCCAACTCACTCAGTCATGTAATTGGTTATTGGAAGGCAGGTGCTTTACTAAAAATCATCTCCTATTAAAACTTACTTCTGAAAGGGTCAATAACTAAAAGACATGGGCAATTTTCCCAAAACCACATGATCCAAACAACAAGTGAGGGTAATGACATGTTAATATTTCCAGAGGTGCTAATCCACGACCAATGTGAGCCAGGGCACAGGAGCACTCTTTTTCTCTTTCTCCAATAGCACCATGGGGAGCCTTTAACATCCACCTGTTCAGGTTAATGAAACTTTAGTTTAGTACCTGATCTGAAAGACAATACCTCTAACAATGTTGTTACTCCCCCAGTATTGGACTGTATCAAGTCCAGATTGTATGCTGAAGATCCAGAACTGTTGATTTAGGGGCCATTGTCCTTGATCTCTGTCACAAACTCTGCTTCTTGCCACCAACTGCATTCCTTTCCCTGGCAATTCAATGAGTTTGAATCAAACTACTTGCAACCTTGACATTGTACTTGACACACCAAGATGAGCTTCCAATTACATTTCTGCACCCTTGCTGAGTCACTTTTTTCCATTTTATCACGACCTAATTTTGCTTTGCTTAGTTTATTTGCTGCCAATTCCTCAGCAATGCCTTTATTACCTCTAGATTTGACTAGTTTCCATTTTTCCACCCTTCATAAACTTAAGGTCACATAAAAGCCCATATCTCCTAGCTCATACAAAGTCCAATACTTCTATCATCTCAATTTTCTGATGGCCAATCCACCTAACCTCCGTATCTTTGGACTGTGGGAGAAAACCCACGCAGACACAGGGAGAATGTGCAAATTCCACACAGACAGTTGCCTGAGGCTGGGATCGAACCAAGGTCTCTGGTGCTATTAGGCAGCAATGCTAACTACCGAGCCACCATGCCATCCCTAAATCTCTATGCCTTCTTTTTCCTCTTTTAAATGCTTCCAAAAATCTCTTTTTTTTAGTACATCGTTCTTGGTCCAATATTGCCTAATGTGGCTTGGTGTCAAATTCTGGAGGCTAATACTCCCCTGAAAGTGTTTTTTAACATTTTAATGCATCAAACACAACGTACAGATGCACACTGTTGTTCAGCCCAGTTAAATCTTTCACTGTGACAGTCCCTGCATATTCATCTCACTGGCTACTGCGAGATACCAAGAAGGAAGTATTAGATTATTTTAGAATATTGGATTATGCAAAACCTGTAAAAAAAAAATCACCTGATAAGATGAATGCAAGTCCGTTGCAAATGCAATAATTGTGAAATAATTTTTGTTAAAAGTAGTCATAAAAAATCTTTGATTAAAATATACATTTTGCGACTCATTTAGGTTTTCCTCTTGTTAAGTAGAGAATACCAGTTTCCACCTATTGCCAATAAAAGGCAAAAGTAATTCTAATAGGAAAATATGAATAGTTAGAATTTGCCTTCAAAGTGTAATAATGATAACTGAAGCTAATAATGCAGAATAAGAAATACCCAAAAATTGTAGTCCAGACCATTGATACCATTATGAATACTTTTAAACAGACTGCAGTCACTAATGCTTAATGAATACAGTAGGGCAATTTTCAAAATAATTTCACATTTTTGCACAACTGTTGCTATAGAACAAAGAACTTTCAATATTGGTTAAGTTTAAAAGATTGAATCATAACCAGATCAGTGACATTAAATTTTAAGATAGCACCTTTTAGCATGATGTGGCTGAAAGGATGCGTGGAGGAGCAGCAGGTAGTAAAGGCAGCAAATGGTATGTTGGCCTTCATAGCGAGAGGATTTGAGTACAGGAGCAGGTATAACTTGCTGCAGGCCCTTGGTGAGACCACACCTTAAGTACTGGGTGCATTTTGGTCTATTATGTGAGGAAGAATGTCCCGGCCATGAAGGAGTGCAAAGGTCTGGCAGACAGATTCCTGGAAGGGCAAGACTTAAGTATGAAGAGAGACTAGCTCGGTTAGGACTACATTCACTGGCATTTAAAAGAATAAGGGGGATTTCAGAAACCTAACTTCTAACAGGAACAGACATGATTAAAGCAGGAAGGATGGTCTGGGGAGTCCAGAATCAAGGGTCACAGTCTAAGGATATGGAGTAGACCTGTCAGGACAGAGACGAAGATAAATTTGTCCACTTAGAGAATGGTGAGCCTGTGGTATTCTCTGCCACAGAAGGCAGTTGAAGCTAAAACATTAAAAGTTTTTCGGAAGGAGATATAGGTAGTTCTTAGAGCTAAAGGGATCAAAGCAAGAAAGCAGGAGCAGGGGACTGAGTTGGATAATTAACCACAATCATAGCGAATGGAGGGTGCAGTCTCGAAGGGCTGAATGGCATACTCCAACTCCTATTTTTCTATGTTTCTATGCAAAAAAAACTTAAAGCCTGAAAATCAATTAACATTTGGAACTATTGCATTTTGGGAACAAAATGAATGTTATATGGATTGTAGTATGTTCTCTGAAATGTTTCAGGATTAGTGCTGTCAATTTCCATGAATTACATTTGCAGGATTTTTAGGAAAATCAGTTTGCAATAAATCAGTTACTCTGCAGGTTCTTACAGTTTATTGCCTTTTAAGGCTGCATGGTGAAGCAAGTTGAAGCCACGATTATTTTGTTGAGTGAAATCGATGTTTGTCACTTCTGTCAGGATTTCAATAATATCTCTGTAGTCTTTTGCAATTCCATCATGTAAAGGAGTATCTCCATATGAATCCTGGAAAGATCAAAAATAAAGTTAAGAATTGGTTCACTAAACTTGCACATGCAGTTGATTTAAAGAATGCCAATGTTAGACTTTTGCACTATCTTAATAGGAATTGTGTGTTAATATTATACAATCCAGATCGTTGTCCTTAATCATTCATACATTTGTCAGGGACACACAGGTCGAACACTTGATGTACATTGCAAACTAAAAACTAACACGATGTCCATGTAGGACTGCGTTGACAAAGCAGAAGTCGCATGACACCAGGTGATAGTCCAACAGGTTTATTTGAAATCACAAGCTTTCGATTTTACCTGACAAAGGAGCCGCGCTCCAAAAGCTTGTGATTTCAAGTAAATCCGTTGGACTATCACCTGGTGTCTCGTGACTTCTGACTTTTAAAAACTAACATGTATATGGTTTTATATTTTTAATTATATTGGTAGGAATATCTGAAGCACTTTAGCCCAGATAGAGTATTTGAGTAATAGAAGCTTATTGATTAATTGATTGATTAACGTTTGAACTGTAATGAAAAGGATGAGGACCATATTGAAACTATTCAAATGACAAGTGCCTTTAATTCACCAGAAACTCAAGGCTGATTAAAGAAAGCCACCAGCCCCTCTCTCCAAACAGGAGTTTTATTATTTTTTCAAAAGAAAAATGAGCCAGCGTACTTTCACTTTGGGAGATTATGATTATATTCAACACAACCTAATCCTCCCAGCCTGTTAGGTGTAAAGTCAAATTAATTGGGATGGTTCTCCAACAGGCAGAAAACCATAATCAGAAGTGTTCATAATTTGAGAACCTTGTTAAAAAGGTCTCAAAACCGTTCATATGTTATCACCTTTGCTTCAATGGCTATTTGAGATATAGTATTCCATGCTACAATAAGCCTAAATCTCTTGTTGCCAACTCACCAATCAAAAGAAACTATTTTTCACACAATCTCCATATATAAAACCCAGGGAAGTTAATATATTTTAGTGGAGGCAGTATAGAATCTATAAGTGCAATCCCAATTGTGTTGATAGGAACATCAGAAGAGAAGTAGGCCATGCAGCCCATCAAAGCTATTTGGCTATTCAATATGGCTGACCACTACTTCAAAGGCTTTTTTCCTACGTTATCCTTTACATAGTGACAGATGCTCTACTATAATCATATATAAATAAATACTCAATGATTGAGCTTCCACAGTCTTCTGGTGTAGTGAATTCCAAAGATTCACCACCCTCTGAGTAAAAAGCGTTTCTCTGCATCTTGGTTCAAAATGGTTCCACCCTGATTTTGAAATGATTTCCCTTGGTTATAGAGTCCCCAGCAAAAGGAAACATCTTACCTGCATGTACCCTGCACATTCATTTGAATATTTTGTAGGTTTTAATGAGATGACACCTGATTCTCTGAAATCCTAGAGAATACAGGCTGCTTCCCCAAACTATTTTCATAGGACAGTCCTGTTATCCAGGCAACATGTCTGGTGAACATTCATTTCACTCTCTCTATGACAATAATATTTTTTCTAAAGTAAGAGGTTTAAAGCTGGGGGCAGCATGGTGGCTCAGTCATCAACACTGCTCCCTCACAGTACCAGGGGCCCGGGTTTGATTCTGCCCTCGGGTGACTGTCTGTGTGGAGTTTGCACATTCTCCCTGTGTCTGCGTGGGTTTCCTCCGGGTGCTCCGGTTTCCTCCCACAGTCCAAAGATGTGCAGTTTAGGTGGATTGGCTGTGCTAAATTGCACAGAGTGTCCAGGGATAAGCAGGCTGGGTGGATTGGCCATGGGAAATGCAGAGTTACAAGAATAGGGTAGGGCGGTGGGTCGGGGTGAGATTCTATTCAGAGGGTCAGTGTTGACTTGATGGGCCCCATGGCCTGCTTCCACACTGGAGAGATTCTAATGTCTCTAAAACTGCAGACAGTAGTCCAGGAGTGCTATAATCAAGGCTCAGTACAATTGCGGGAAGACTTCACTACTCCCATACTCAAGTGCTCTTGCAATGTAGACTAACATACCATTAGCCTTCTTAATTGCTTGCTGCACCTCACACTAACCTTCAGTGTCTTATTAACCACGAGTCCCAAGTCCCTCTGCATATCCACACTTTCTAATCTCCTAATACTGCACATATGTTCCTTCTAACAAAGTAGTTAACAACACATTTTTTTCAAATTATATTACATCGGCCATAGGCTCGCAAAGTCTATCCAATCCTCTTCTGGCTGCCTTGTATCTTTCTCATAGCTCACAATCCTATCTAGCTTTGTGCCATCTGCAAACTTGGAAATATTATATTTTGTCTCCAAATCTAAATCATTGATATATAGTGAATAGCTAGGGCCCCAAGCACTGATCCTTGTAGTACCCTACCAATCACAGCGTGCCAATGTGAGAACAACACATTTATTCCAACTCTCTTCCTAATCAGCCAATCCTTAATCCATGGTAGTCCATTACCTCCTATTATACGTGCTTTAGTCCTCCTGTGGGAGACTTTATCAAAAGCCCTCTGAACATGCAAGTATGCTGCATCTACAAAGTTCCTTTTATCTGCTAGTAACAGCCTCAAAAAAAAATTGAATAGGTTTGTTCAACACCATTTTCCATTCAAAAATCCATGCTGACGATACTCAATTTGATCATTATGATCCATTTGTCTATTTATCACATCCTTTTTAGTAGTTGAGTATTTTCCTGCCTATTGATAAGACCATAAGACATAGGAGCAGAAATTAGGCCATTTGGCCCATCAAGTCCGCTCCGCCATTCAATCACGGCTGATAAGTTTCTCAACCCATTCTCCAGCTTTCTCCCTGTAACCCTTGATAATCAAGAACCTATCTATCTCAATCTTAAATGTACTCAATGACCTGGCCTCCACAGCCTTCTATGGCAGTGAATTCCATCATCATTCTCTGGCTGAAGAAGTTTCTCCTTAGCTCCGTTCTAAAAGGTCTTCCCTTTACTCTAAGGCTGTGCCCTTGGATCCTAGTCTCTCCTACCAATGGAAGCATCTTCCCAACATCCACTCTGTCCAGGCCATTCAGTATTCTGTAAGTTTCAATTAGATCACCCCCCATCCTTCTAAACTCCTATGAGTACTGTCCCAGAGTCCTCAAACGTTCCTCATATGTTAAGCTTTCCATTCCTGGGACCATTCTCGTGAACCTCCTCTGAACCCGCTCCATGGCCATCCTTCCTGAGATATGGGCCCAAAACTGCACACAATGTGATGTGGGCTAACAGATCTGCAGTTCCCTGTTTGTTCTCTCCATCCCTTCTTCAATAATGGGTGACATCTGCTACCATCCAGCTCACAGGAACCATTGTAGAAATCTAGAATATGATCACCAATCCATCCACTATCCCCATGGCTACCTCTTTTGTCACTTTGGGATGCAGAATATCAGGTCGTGGGAATTTATCAACTTTCAGTCCCACTAAACTGACGCAACACACAACCTTCTTACTAATCCCAATTTCTTTCAATTCCTCATTCTCCATTGTTCCTTGATCAATAGGTTTTTAGCTAAACTTCCATCTGCAAGCATTGGCATGTTTTTGAAATGATTACTTTAAATAGAGGAGGAAAACTGGACTTACTTCACTGCTCTTAACTGGCGATCATTAATATTCCTTAGGGAAGGAAGTCTGCCACCTTTGCCTGGGTTGGCTTAAATGTGACATCAGATGCACATTATGTGCTCTCCAAAATGACCTAGAAAGCCAATCTTAAGGCTAATTAGGGCTGGGGTACAAATGCCCACATTCTTGGGGTGGCACGGTGGCTCAGTAGTTAGCACTGCTGTCTCACAGCACCAGAGACCCGGGTTCGATTCCAGCCTCGGGCGACTGGCTGTGTGGAGTTTGCACATTCTCCTCATGTCTGCGCAAGTTCCTCCAGGTGCTCCGGTTTCCTCCCACAGTCCAAAAACGTGCAGGTTAGGTGGATTGGCCATGCTAAATTGCCTGTAGTGTTCAGGGATGTGTAGGTTAGGTGGGTGATAGGGGGATGGGTCTGGATGGGATGCTCCGAGAGTTGGTGTGGACTTGTTGGGCCAAAGGGCCTGTTTCCACACTGTAGGGATTCTATGATTTCTATGATTCTTATCAGCGATGCCCCTATCCCATGAAAGATTAAAGCAAGAAAAAGATTAAAATGTTGCAGTTACCAACATAGGCTGGATACAATTTTTAACCTTCACCACAGGTTGTTTTTGCTGATGATACGTCATCACTTACAGTCGCCATTATTCTTTCAACTTCCATCCACTTTGCATGAACTTACCTCCAGATATACGGTCATCAAATAACCAGGCAAACCTATTCCTTGCATGGACAGCTCTTCTTCTTCCTAGACAAACAGTGCAAGTGAAATGACTTGTGACTTTCCACTCACCTGCAGATTAACGTTGCAATTATATTCGCAAAGGGCATGCACGACTTCTGTAAAGCCCTTGTTGACTGCAATGTGCAGAGCAGAACACGTTGAGGCGTTGAGTAGATTGACATTTGCACTTTTGCTGAGAAGCAGTTTCACCACTTCAGGCTGGTTTCTGTAGGAAACAAGCAAAAATTAGTGGCAGATATCAACCTGTTCATCCAGTTATTTCTGCACAAATTAACGGGAAGCAACCTTGAAGCAGCCCCTATGCCATCCAACTAAGCACATTACGATTTTTAAAGAATATTTGTAACTTTAGAGTTAGTAGAAACAAAAGGTTGTCTTACCAGCTGCTAACTGGCACTGCACATAGACTGGGAGTAGTGCAGTATGCACTTGTAAGCAAACATAAGCAGCATCCTGCTCTCCACAGTCAGGCAGCACTTGCAAGTAGGTACTGATTTCAACTGGAGCTAAAATATATCACTTTTAAATTAAATGGTATAGGCTCACTACAACTTGCTGGTGACTGTAGCTTAAAACGAAATGGGCTTAATCAGGTAGTCACTTGTATGAAGATAAAACATTTTATTTGCATCAAGAAAATCTGAACCTTTTGGAGGCAACCTTGTGAAAGCTGGGAATTTTATCAAAATCTCTCAACTCCTATGTCCTGGAGTTGAAAAATGAGTTTTTGAAACAAAGATTATATGATATCACTGTCTTGTTACTATGATTACAAACACAAAGTTAATAAGCAATTATTTAGGAGTTTGCTCCATATTAATTGTGCAATTTGCATACCTCTACTTTGTGTACTGTTCCTAAAAGGAATTGAAGGAAGAGATGTTGAGGGTGCTGCAGACATTAAAAGTCACAACAAGATCCAACACAACAGTCATGATTAATTTTAGCAAATATCACAGTTATGCATAGCTATTTCACAGTAGGTACATGTGCACATGTACATGTACTGGAGTGTACCAGCAGGTGGGAACACACTTCATCTGCTGGAACCTAACTTGCCTTACATCTCTGCATTGCTTTCTCCTCCAAAAATAAAGGAGGGTTGGAGTTTAGCCCACTGTCCCAACATGGCAGCTGTACCAAAAGAATACGTTCAACTATTATTAATGTGACAAGACAGAAGTGTATAAAGCAAAACATGGTTCAGGAGTAATTTTAGGACCTACTTTTGATTCTATTATACAGTTTCTTAAATCAATTTCAACACTATAGTTCTAACAACTTTGAATAATTAGACATACAAATAATTGGAAAATTATTAAGTTTCTAAATTGGGCTTAATTTTGATTTAACAAGCTACAAAGTTAGACATTCCCCTTTGATGTAAAAAATCCAATTGCGAAACTAAAACAGAGCAGCATGGAGGTAATTTGGCACAACAAATCACTATTCATTTCATGCTGAGTTATCAAGTTTAACCATTCGGAAAATCAAACCTGAATTAAAAACAGAAAGTGCTGCAGAAACTCAGCAGGTCTGGCAGCATCTATGGAGAGAGAAACAGAGTCAATGGTTTGAATCCAATGACTCTTTGCAACGTTAACTCCATTTTTCTCCACAGATGCTGCCAGAACTGTGGAGTTTCTCCAACAATCTGTAGTTTTACTTCCAAACTTCACCATCCACAATAATTTGCTTTAGACAGAAAATCTAGCCTTTGGTTTTGAAAATTACAGCGGGGATTAGAAGAGAGAGAACAAACATTATATCTTGCTACAAAGGAGTATTTTTTATAAAATAACTGCTTTTGTAGCATTCACCTTTCATGCAGGTATTAGTGGTAAAGTGCCCTCCTCAGCTCTCCAGCATCACAAATGGCAGACTTCAGCCAATTTGATTCACTCCATGTGAGATAAGGAAACAGGTGAAGGCACTGGATACTGCAAAGGGTAAGGGCCCTGAAAGCAGAAACCTTGTGCACCAGAACTAGATGCACCATGCCCAGCCAAGTTGTTCCATTCCAGTCACAACACTGGTATGTACCTGATAATGTGGAAGATTGCCCAGGTATGTCCTGTCACGAAAAGCAGGACAAATCCAACCTGGCCAATAGACTGACAGGGCAGTAACTCTTGATAATGAGCAAAGGGGTTCTTGATATTGCTAACGGTGGCACTTGCTCAGCAATAGCTTGCTTACTAAGGTGCAGTTTGGGTTCTCCAGGGTCACTCAGCTCCTGACCTCAATATGGTCTTGGAAAAAAAATGGTACAACTTTGAAAAAAGGGCTGAACTCTAGAACTGAGGTAAGAATGACTGCATTTGACCAGGTATGGCATCAAGGAGCCCTAGCAAAACTGGAGTCAATGGGAACTGTGAAGGAAATCTCTCCACTGGTTGCAGTCACATCTTGTACAACGGAAGACTATTGTGCCTGTTGGACAGCAGTTATCTAAAAGCTCCAGGACTTTGCTGCAGGAGTCCCTCAGGGTCGTGTCCTTGGCCTAACCATCTTCAGCTGCTTCATTAATGACCTTCCCTCCATCATAAAGTCAGAAGTGGGATTTTTTTGCTGATGATTGTACAAGGTTCAGCATAACTTGCAGCTCCTCAGATACTTAAGCAGTTCACGTCCAAATGCAGCAAGACCTGGCCAACAACTTAGCATGAGCTGATAAATGGCAAATAACATTTGTGCCACACGTGTCAGGTAATGGCTATTCCAAATAAGAAAAACTCTAACCATATTTCCTGTAAACTTAATGACGTTATCATGGCTATCACTCAGATTATGAACCCTTGTTCCAGAGCTCTCCAGCCAGGGGAAGCATCAACCCTGTCTCCATTCTGTACAGACCTGTCAGGGTTTCTACATTTCAATGAGATCCCTTGTAGATCTTCTAACCTCCAGCGAACATGGGACATATTGACCCAATCTCTCCTCATATAATAAGCTCTGCCATCCCAGGAAATCTGTCTAATGATCCTACACTGTACTCCGTATTCTGTTGGGTAAGGAGACCAAAACTGCAGACAACACTCCAGGTGTGGTCTCACCAATACCTGGTACAGCAGCAAGACATCATTGCTCCAATAAAAACCAAAAGAACTGTGGTTAAGTAAATCAGAAACAAAAGCAGAACTTGCTGGAAAAGCACAGCAAGTCTGGCAGCTTCTGTGAGGGAAAAGTCAGTTTCGGGTCCAGTGACCCTTCCTCAGAACTGATAGTAGCTCGGAAAATGTTGGTTTGTATGCAGAAGATAGGGTGGGGGAGGGGTTAAGGAGTAAACGATAGGTGGGGGTAGAGCCCAAAGAGAGAGAACAGCAGTTAGACAGACAAAGGAGTTGATAACGATCTGGCTAGGAGGGTGAACAGTTGTTAATGGGGACTGCTGGGGGCTAACAAAGGTGGTGTGTAATAGCAGGCTGTGTGATAACAAGGTCCGATGTGTGGGGTAGAGGCCTAGGACATGGGAAAGTTCAGGCCCTAGAATTATTGAACTTGCTAGAGTCCGGAGGGCTGCAGGGTCCCCAAGTGAAAAATGAGGTGTTGTTCTCCCAGCTTGCACTTCCAACATTGCTCCTGTATCTAAATCCTCTTGAAATAAAGGCCAACATACCATGTGACTTCCTACTGCACCTGCATGCTTGCTTCCTGACTGGAGTACAAGGACACCCAGGTCCCTTTGTACATTAATCTTTCCCCATCTTCACCATTTAAATAATAGTTTGCCATTCTGATTTTCCTATACACGTTGTACTACATCCATCACCCAACTGATCTACATTGTCCCGAAGCTTTTTTACTTACACCCCACCACACACAATTCTCTCCAGTTTTATTTTATCAGCAAACTTGGAAATATTATATTTAATTCCCTCACCCATATCACTGAGATATATTTTCAATAGTTGGGGCTCAGGTATTGATTCCTATGGTACCCCACACATCATTGCCTTTCCAAAAAAGATCCATTTATTCCTTCAGTTTCCTGTCTGCTAACTAATTCTCAATTCCTATCAGTATATTACCATCAATACCATCACTAACTTTTAATGTTGGACTTTATTGAAAGCTTTATAAAAATCCAAATATATCACAACCACTGGTTTCCCCATATCTATTCTAGTAGTTATACTCTCAAAAAACACCAGTAGGTTGTCAAACATGATTTCTCTTTAAAAATCCATGTTGATTTTGTTGAATCCTGTTGACATTTTCTGAGAGTTACGTCATTGTATCTTTTATATTAGACTTGAGCATTTTATCTACTACTGATACTAAGCTATCCTTGTTCACCGTTCAACCTAATATCATTCCTCTCCACCTGCCTGAATGAGCGTAGCTCCAACAACACTCAAGAAACTATACACTATCCAGGACAAAGCAGCAAGCTTAAACGGCACCCCACACATCACCTTCAAAGGGCCAAATGGTCTACTCCTACACCATTTTTCTATGTTTCAACATTTGACATTCAACATCCTACAACACTGACGCACAGTGGCAGAAGTTTGTAACTTTCGACTTGATGTACGGCAGCACCCCCCTGTAGCACTAAAGACAGCATCTTCCAAACCTGTGACCTCTCCCATCTAGGAAAAGGACAAAGACAGTAGATACACAGGAACACCATCACTGGCAAGTCGCCCTCCAAGCCTAGTACCATCCTGGCTTGCAACTATGTCAGCCATTACATTAGTGTCACTGGGGATCAAGATCCTCAACTATGTGGGCACACATACTCCAATGAACTGTGTGGTTCAAGAGCCAGCTCACCACCAGCTTTTGAATAGCAATTAGGTTTGGGCAATGAATGCTGGCTCAGTCAGGGATACCCACATCCTAGAAACAAACAAAAGATGTTTTCAAAAATTATAAGAACAATAATTCTGGAAGATGATAATGTGACCTTGGGAATTACTGATAGGTATTTTAAAATTGATTTTGCTGCTCATTTCAATGGCATTATGTTTGTTAAATCCTCAAGTTTCAAACGTATAATTAGAACATCTTCAAAACATAAAGTACTCTCAACGAGCAAGTGTTAGGCAACTATAGCATTATGCTTATTGTTTCATAGAAGTTCGAAAATGAGTTAGCAGCATGAGACATCAGGGCAAGGTAGCTAATGTCACATCACACGGTAATTAGAGTGTGGGAGTACAGAATGCTCACTGTCCACAGAGTGATATTTGGGTTACCTTCCTAGGTGGCACAGCTGAAGCGTTGGTAGGCTGGTCAATTCATCACAGTGAAAAACCTATTGGCAGCTTATATTTGGCATTTTTTCCTGAGTCAGGACTAATAAAGAAGGCATAGGGACTCCAAAATAATTTTAACAAAATGAGATCCCAGCTTGGTTACACATTCATTAAGACATTCATGAAGAGACCAGCTTTCATACCCAAACGATGCATAATGTAGCGCTGTGTCGCCATCCTCATCATGAATCTCGAGCTTAGCATTTGCCTGCAGAAGAATTTTCACCACCTCGAGGTGTCCCTGATGAGCAGCCACCTGCAGTGCTGTCTTGCCTTGATTCTTAATATCAACCTGCACGACAGAGAATATTTGAATGACTTGCTAGTGAATGTTTCATAAGCATCTTTTTCTGCAGCATCAGGGATAATTTTCACTCTCTTGAATAAAAGATACATAAATTATGATTAAAATTATGAGGGGCATAGATAGAGTGGGCATAGCAAGGAACTTTTCCTTTTGACAGAGGGATCAATGACCGGGGGCATAGATATAAAGGAATTGGCAGGAGGTTTAGAGGAGACGAAAGGAAATATCATTTCATGCAGAGGGTGTTGGGAATCTGGAACTCATTGCCCATAGGGATGGCTGAGGCACAAGCCCTCATAACATTTAAGTATTTAGATGGGCACTTGCGATGCCAAGGCATACAAGACTGTGCGGCAAATGCTGGAAAACGGTTTTAGAATAGTCGGTTGATTTTTTTTTTATCAGTGTAGACCCAAGGGCCTTTTTCTGTACTGTAGATCTCGATGACACTCTCAGCCAGGAGCCCCAAGATTAAAATCTGACTTTTCACATCAGTGACAGGTGGGTCACAAAATTCCTATGACTTTCAAGAAATGTAGGTGGGTGAGTTAGAAGATTGTTTATAAAAAAGAAGAGAAAGGAACGCCAATCAATTTTAGGCTCTTTCGGCATCATTGTTGTGTTTAAAGTGGTTTTAAACTTTAGTGTACCATGCTGCACAATCTAATATAGGAATCGGTTTACTGCATTGATACACCTAAATCTTCTATTTGCTATTGCATTCAACTGCAGTATTTGTTTAATTTCTTTTATTGTGCATGAGCATCTTCAGGGAATGTGAAAATACCAGCAACTAAATATCTGATATTCCTATTGTCTTTGATATGCTAGAGGCCTTCATTAAAATTATGGTCGACAAATTAAGCTACGATCTACAATGAATAAATTCTGCAATTTTTTTTTCCTTTATTCGTTCATGGGATGAGGGCATTGCTGGCTAGGCAGCATTTATTGCCCATCCCTAATTTTCCCAGAGGGCAGTTCAGAGCTAACCACATTGCAGTGGGTCTGGAGTCACACATAGGCCGAATGGCAGTTTCCTTCCCTAAAGGACTTTAGTGAACCAGATGGGTTTTTTCCGACAATCAACATTGGATTCACAGACGTCATTAGATTCTTAATTCCAGATATTTTACTGAATTCAAATTCCACCAAATGCCATAGTGGGATTCGAACCTGGGTCTCCAGAATGTTATCTGGGTCTCTGGATTAACAATCCAGCAATAATACCACTAGGCCATTTCCTCCCCTAAAGGATCTAACAACACTACCACCAGTCCCATTCTGTGCAGCCACTCAAGATCAAAACTATGCCACATTTAAGTAGGATGTGCATTGCAATGTATCAAATCAGACAGTTCATCTGTTAATGTCAAATTACTTTAGTAAACAAGTGATCAGATAGCAATATCAATTAGTTAAGGTTAATTGGTAAACAGGTGCTAATGTGGACTGATTCGGGCTCTTGTGGTGCAGTGGCAGTGTCCCTACCTCTAAGCCAGGTAGTCAAGGTTCAAGTACTGATCCCTGTGGTATCTCACTTGTCACTGCCTTGAACTCCGAAAAGACCCATTTACTCTCACTTTCTTTTTTCTGTCTGCTCACCAATTCCCAATCTGTGCCACAATATTAACACCAATCCCATGTGTTTTGATTTTTAATAATAGCCTCTCGTGCGGCACTCTGCCAATGGCTTTCTGAAAATGCAAATATGTCACGTCCACTGGTGTCTTGCTACCACACCCTTTATAACTGACTCGATTATTTTCCATATTTATGATGTTAAGCTAAACTCTCTGTAATTCCCAGTTTTCTCCCTCCCTCCATTTTAAACAGTGTGGGTCCAGTTGCCAACCTCTAATCTGCCAGGACTACAGAATCCAGAATCGACTATCAGTACATCCACTATTTCCCATGGCCAGTTCAGAAACAAGTTTTTCAGTTCAGTTCAGAAGATATCAGTGTTGGGTTTAGAAGCCAGTTTAGTTTTGTTTCCTAGAAATGTTTAGGGACCATTTACCTTGGCAGAAGGGTTTAATTTGTGAAACTTTCAAATCAGGAGAGTTTGGTTAGAATTATGCTGGATGTTAGAATCAAGAAAGTTAGCCTCTCAGATTTGTGGAAAAAAAAAATCACATCAGCACTTGTACTCATTTTATTACTCCATATATTTTGTAGTTTCCTTTAAGTCTACAATTCCAGATCAAAAACTTTGGGGAAAAAAAAACCTTTTGTCAGTCAGGAAACTTTGGGGTTAAACTGTTACTATACCAATGGCCCTGTAATGTCCTGTGAGTAATTTCTCACACAACTCTCCACAGACACACAAAAATATGGTTTACTACAAAATAAAGCTGTGCTATGAATTTAGAAGCATTTTCAAGTAGCAGGTTCACTTGCCTTTTCTGGATATTTCTGAACCAAATCTCGGACCTTTGCAGCGTTGCCATGAGCAGCTTCAATCACTATCCGTCCAGGATTGTTCTGATCTGTCGACTGTGACAGCAATTTTTCTAGGACAGAGATAACTGAACCTACAGTACATGAACAGAAAGATAATTCTTATTGCCTGTGGTTAAACTTACTTGAACCAAAGTAGTTGTACACAGTTCGCAACAATATTTGCCACAACTAATCGGTCAAGAATAAGACGCAAGATTTTAAAACTCGGCTTTTAAAAAAAAAAGTAAAACGCAGATACATTTTGTCTTCATGCCTTCCTATTTTTTCCTCCTCGCCACTGAGAAACGGCACAGGCAGAGATTGATGGGCATTTTCTAATATTTACTAACGTAGCTTTCAACCAAAGACTAGATGAGGATATTACAGTGAAGTCAAATGATTCCTCGTGGAATATCCGTGAGTTGCACGCTTCAAGTTGGGGTTAAGAAGGAAACTCTGATTATTTCACTTCTCTCTAAGGTTATTTCCAGTATCTAACATCACCTGCTGCAGAACAGACCTTGGAATCTCACCATCTTGGGCCCGTCAGGAGCATGCGTTTCTTTCAAGAAAATAAAAGCACAAATTTTGTTTCAAGGTGAAATTCTTCAGGGTTGGACAATAGAACACTTTTGCCAATTCTGTTAGCAGGCATCAGCATCAAAATGCCCATGAGAAACAGCATACTAACCCCAGGGATAATGGATTTCTACTACAAGATTAGGTTGCAGAAACTGGGATTGTTCTCCCTGGAGGTATACAAGATTGTCTACTTTACCTAAACCTATCAAAAAAAGGTTGATCCATTAACTGATGGCAAGGGACTAGGAGAAACAGATTTGAAGTTTTTCCTAAGTGTAATAATTACTTGGAAGTCACTGCCTTTGATGGTGGTTGAAGTGATGATGACCAATGATTTTAGAAGGTAATTGGGTAAGCATGTGAAGGAAATGAATTTATAGTGCTACAGAAATAGAATGTAGGCATGGGCCTGACTGGATTGTTTGATGGGCCAAACAGTCTCCTTCTGGGCAGTAAGAGAATGTGTAAATGCACTGGAACAAAAATTGTGGACTTCCAATCTTGCATTTCTTCTTCATTTTGTCCTTGGCTCCCACACAAATATTTGATAAACTCAGGCTTCAGTCTGATGCTGATAAATGTTTTATTTCACTTAATATGCAAATGAATGTTTTATGATTGAGATGCATTTAGGTTGGAGAGGACAAAAGCGTTGCGAGTAAGTCAAAATTATTTTTTGATTTACCATGCAGAAGACTGAAGGACTGAGGCTACTGAAAGCAGATACTAAGTCATGAAGCATGAGAAAATCATCATTGTTTTGGTCCTGGACTGACCCGTAGGAATTAAGGAATGATCTAAAAGCTGAGAGAGAAAGTTAAGAAATCAAACAAAGCTAATCAGAACTGGAGGGGAGAAGAATAGTCAGCTCAAGAACTTATCTTAACATCTCCCAATCACACCTTCCTCATTATGTGGAGGTGCCAGCGTTGGACTGGGTAGACCAGGTCAGAAGTCACACGACGCCAGGTTATAGTACAATATGTTTATTTGAAATCACAAACTTGCAGAGCACTACTCTTTCGATGCTCTTCATCATTAACATCCTTTTATTATAAAACAGCAACATCCTCCAAATCACTATAAACAATGCCAAGGGTCCAGACCCGAAATGTCAACTTTCCTGCACCTCTGATGCCACCTGGCCTGCTGTGTTCATCCAGCTCTACACCTTGTTATCCCATGTCAGATTTGCTGGTTTATTAAAAAAAGGCCTGATTTTAATGTGGATCGTTTCAACATATTTGCACAATAAGCAACCAGAAGAAAAAAGACCTCAGTGTTTTGTGGTTACATGGCTAACAATTATAATTAATTCATGATAATGAATGAGGAAGTGAATTAGGAAGACACTGAAAACGTGTTTCTAGCACCAGATTGAAACGTGGGTTTGTCAAATATTTGTGTGGGAGCCAAGGACAAAATGAAGAAGAAATGCGAGATTGGAATTCCATAACTTTTGTTCTAGTGCATTACAGATTCTCTTACTGCAGAGGTGGTTATTTGGCCTATTAAACAATCCAATCAGGCCTATTGCTGCATTCTATCTTTGTAGCACTGTAAATTTACTTCCCTCAAATGCCTACCCAATCTGAAATAAAGAAATAAACTGGCAAGGCTGGGACTTTTTCCACTGGAGCATAGGAGGTGGAGGGGTGACCTTATAGAAGTTTATAAAATCATGAGGAGCATATAAAATCATGAGGTGAATGACAAGGGTCTTTCCTAGGGTGCGGGAGTTCAAAACTAAGGGACACATTTTTAAGGTGAGATGAAGAAGTTTAAAAAGGACATGAGGGGCAACTTTTTTTAAAAACGGAGTGTGTGGTTCATATATGGAATGAACTGCTAGAGAAAGTGGTGGATGTGGCTCGTTACAAGGTTTAAAAGGCATTTAGATAAGTATAAGAATAGGAAAGGTTTGGAGGGATCTGGACCAAGTGCAGGCAGGTGGGACTAGTTTAGTTTGGGAACATGATTAATGTGGACTAGTTGGACTGAAGGGCCTGTTTCCATGCTGTATGACTCTATAGACAAATAATATGCCAAGTGGAAAATGATCAGGTTCAAATTAACTATCACCCTACTGTCTTCTCAATTTTACTCTCCAGTAAAATCAACGGACAATGAAATCAGGCAAGGTATAAATTGGTGGTTAAATTGATCCCATCAGTTTATCACTGGGTGATGTGGGTTTTCTTCTCCATGTTACCCTTTACAAACAATAAAACTCATTTACAGAATTACAGTTTTTTTTAAAACTGAAAATTAGAAATGGTATGTGGTTCTTTGTATTTTCCAATAGTTTCATAAGCCTAGTTTCAGACATTTACTGTTACTTTAAAAGCTACAAAGCATTTTTAATGCTAGAATGATTACATTCACTCATAAAAGGTACCAGCTAAAGCAATAACTTCAATCAAGAAACTACTCTTTTGAACCTCTTACTTGCTGAATCATTTGTGTTGTCTGTTGTCATGAGGTTGGCATCTACTTCTCCTGGTTGTGCTGCAGTTACACACGCAGGATTAAAGGTCCAGGTTTGGCCCCCAACTCCCACGCGTAAATCTCCATCGCCATATACTTTTAATACCTTCCCAACCTGTCCCAGTGCCTGCAGGATATACAACAGAAATAATACCTAGTGCAAGGATTCCAGATTATAATACTGTTCAAATCTGCATTATTTTACATGAGGTTAGCAAGACAGAAACTTCTTACTCAGCAACATCTGAAACTTTTCTTCAAAACTCAAATGATTAAAGTATAATTTGACCATGCCAGCTCAAAGCCGAGTTAATTAGTTCTACCAAAGTACCGACAGGTGCAGCAATGGCGTGCACACTACTAGGTCACGGGGAATAAATAAGTAACAACAAAAATAGGCTAAACAGATCACAACATGGTCACCTCTGATAGTCCAACTGGATGAGGACAGTACTAAGTTAAGCTGTAGCTCCACTCAGGGTTAGTAGTCTTCTAAAACTCACTTTCTTGGCTACCATGTGAAGACTGGGCACTTAGACTAAGAACTAGAGAGCGTCAGGTACCACAGAATCATTCTGGCAAGGACTCAACATCTCCTGATGATAAGTGATGGCAGTGGCGGCAACGGGGAGGGGCAGACAGGAGGTCATGACAGTGGCAAACAGCTTATCAGCATCAGCTATTCAAATGAGTGAAGTTGTACAAAAATGCCTGCACAGACATTTGGACTCAGTAAAGTTTGCAATGTCCTTATAATCAATGCTAAGTAGGTTACAGATCTAATGATGTAGATTATTCAGTTAGCACTATCAAGGAATTTCCAAAAGTCAGATCATATTTCCTACCAAATATTTCACAGAAATAAAAAGGCACTTACTGGAGTCATGCTGTCTGTCCATTCTCCATGACCGCTTTGAAGCCTCTTTACAGTTTCTAAATCATCCATCACGCGAACAATATCACCGACTGTGAATGTGTCAACCTAAGAATGAATCACAGCTGGACTGAATTCCCAAGAATAAGATGACATTTTATCTAGGGCTTCAATACGAGTTCACAGTGCAGGTTCATATCTCTGAAGTGAAACAGATACAATAACCTCCATTAAACTGTTTACAACTTAACCAGGCACAGACCAACATTTTGTACATTGCTGATTTGGAACAAGCTGCTTCAGGAATATTTAATTCCAGTTTAAGTAACTCCTGAGATTGTTCATGACAAAGTATATCTCTCTGTTTTGTGGTTGCATGGCTGACAATAATTAATCCATGGTAAGGAATTAGAAAGTGACAGTACACTGAAGGTGTGTTTCATTAAACTCATCGGGAGCAAACTGAACCTAATATGCCAGGTCACACCTCCAAAACAGAAACAGGGTATTGGACATAACTAGTGCAGATCAGTGTTTCTGCTCCACACAAACCTCCTCCCACCTTACTTTATTCCAGCTAACCAACATATCCTATGCCTGGCTTCCTTGTGTACTTACCTCATTTTAACTACCTTTAAAGCATTTATGCTATTCAACTCCACCATTCCATGTGATAGCAAGTTCCACATACTCAGCACTCTCTTGAATGTAGAATTTTCTTCTAAATTCCTCATTAGGTTTATAAGTGACTATCTTGCAGTAACAATCCTTCTCTTTGAATTCCCCAAAAGTGAAACATCTAAAAATTGATTCTATCGGAACTCTTCTTAATGTTAAAGTCTTCCACCCTGAGTCCTCTCAGTCTTCTTTCTTTGAGAGAAAGAAGAGCCCTAGCTTGTTCAGTGTTTTATGGAAGTTATAACTTCTTAATTCTGGGGATCACCCTTGCATTGTTTTTGCATCATCTTCACAACTGAGCCCAGAAAAGCACACGCAGAAAAGCAGAATTTCCCCCCCTCTATTATGAGACCATTCTAAAAGAGTCTTCAAAGCAAGTGGTAAAGAACCAATCGTCCAATTATGAATCTGTATTGTTTTACAAGTTTCTTCCAAGGTAGACAAATCAAGATTATGACATGAATCAAACAGAAATGAATGATTACAAGTCAAACTCGAGTCATTATATATCACAGCAGTTATTTTATATATCAAAAAGTGTTGCAATAATGCTGGGCAGATTTTGTAACAAAAGCAAAAGGCTTAGAGCACTGACTGTTACAATCTGTAAATTACACTAACTTCACACAAGGTCACACACAGTCACCACTAAATATGAAAATGAGAAAGTTGCTATCCGAGATGCCCTCCTGCACAAGTTGCATGCTGCACAAGTTGCATGCTGACAGTACGTCATTAAGACATTCAGTAAGGAAAGGCATGGCATGTCACAACATCACTGTACTATACAGCTAACCTCATCAGAAACAATTAATACTCATCCATCCCAGTGCAAGTACACTTGAACATCATGGTGAACATTCGTGCTTGTCACTGACTTTGAAAATTAACTCTATCAAGTGTGGAGTCTTATTCCTCTACATTTAAAAAAAAATTCTCTCTCAAGTGGAGGGTGCTGAACTTTGTCAATAGTTAATTGAGAGTGAAGTTTAGTATAAACAGCTTATAAAATACTCTCAAACAAGAACGAGGTTGGAGTGCTATTTATGTCGCTGACTGTGTAATCCTGTCCAGCAATTCTAAACTGCTTCAGAAGAATCCTGGCCACATTGTTAAAGCTGCTCATGAACAGTGTTACAAAAACTATGGTCTCTGCACCAACTTTTAAGTTGAGCCACAGAAATTATATTTTGAATCACATTAAATATTCAAATATACAAAAATGTTAATATAACATTACATCAGCTGCCCATACAGTGTTGGCCTAATTGGTGAAGAAAAACCCACTTCCTTTGTCAAAGTAACTTCAATTACCAGAAAATCACAACTGGATCTTAAGTCATGTGACTTGAATTTCCAGAGGCTGAAGATTAAGTGGAATTTAGAACACCATGACCTAGAAAGGAATATGGAAATTTGCTGCAATACCTTGTAGCAATTTATCATTCCAGTGAGCCAGGTATGTTGAAATCTCCACAGTTATGGAATAAAATTTAGCATAATGATTTGATTAGAAGCAATGACATATTATTGGCACAGGAGCTGCTATACCACCATTGTCTGCCAAGAATGGATAAACAGGTGGGGTCTCAATAAAGGAATTGTTCAACTATTGTCCTATAAGAGAGAACTGTTTCAGTCATTAAATGAGTAATCACCAGTTTGAAGAGTCAAAAGTACACAGCACTGTTACAAGAAGATAAGTGGTTCAATTCATTTTCATCTGTTAGGCATGGCTTCATGAGTAGGTAATTGCAATACATAAAAATGCTTATCAGTATTCGCACACACTGTCCAAACTGAGCAGAAATGAGGGAACGTTGCAAAGAGTTATATGAAGAACAGTCCTTCGCTTTAGTGACAGTTAAAGGGGCCATTAGGTAAAGACGCTCTTCTGTCAAGTCTGATGTCAATTTTGATCCCATTCACCCTAAATGCTATATCTAGTTGCCTCTTGAATACATTCAATGTTTTGGCATCAACTACTTCCTGTGGTAATGAATTCCACAGGCTCACCACTCTTCGGGTGAAGAAATGTCTCCTCATCTCCGTCCTAAATGGTCTACCCAGAATCCTCAGACTATGATCCCTGGTTCTGGACACACCCACCATCAGGAACATCCTCCCTGCATCTACCCTGTCCAGTCCCATTAGAATTTTATAAGTTTCTATGAGATGGCCCCTCATTTGTCTGAACTCAAGCGATAACAATCCTACCCTAGTCAATGTCTCCTCATACGTCAGACCCACCATCCCCGGAATCAGCCTGGTAAATCTTTGCTGCACTCCCTCAAGAGCAAGAGCATCAGCATCCTTCCTCAGAAAATGCGCACCAAAACTGCATGCAATATTCTAGGTGTGATCTCACCAAAGTCCTGTACAACTGCAACAACACATCCCTGCTCCTGCACTCGAAACCTCTCACAATGAAGGCCAACGTACAATTTGCCTCCTTTACCGCCTGCTGCTCACCTTCAGTGACTGGTGCACAAGGACACACAGGTTCCGCTGCACACTCCCCTCTCCCAATTTACAGCTATTCCGGTAATAATCTGCCCTGGAGATAGTAGGAACTGCAGATGCTGGAGAATCTGAGATAACAAGGTGTAGAGCTGGATGAACACAGCAGGCCAAGCAGCATCAGAGGAGCAGGAAAGCTGA